AGACATTTTAAGAAGATAAAACAATTAAATAAAGGAAATAAGCAAGTTGGAATACATAGGATATATTACATTACGGTCTACGATGAACAATAAAATAAATAAATATGAATTAAAATGTAAAGGTTTCACAAATCCAGTACTATGAACTCTATTATTAATGTAGAACAAGTTCGTGGTAGTTTTGAGGTTGTATAATTAGAACAGATTAAAGACGCTCAGAGAGTGGAAAAAAATGGTTGCTATTACCCTTTATGAATCTGATAACCAAATATGAGAACCAGACAGCTTCCTAAGTTTAAGGCTGTTTTATGAAGGTATCTTGGTGAATTTAATTCCCAACACTTATATAAAATTTAATTGAAAATTAAGATGAATCAAGATAATCCTTCATTTGACCCAAAATGGAAATGCATTTTGGATTTGCCTAAGTACAAAATGTACAAATAAGTAAATATAATATTAAAATATAGATTCCTCATCGAAACATAATGAGAATCATTATTAGCTCTGGTTGTATTTGTGTTAAAATCTTTGCGAGGCATTCGTTTCATTGTGTAATTTGCCATGTGAGATCAAAACAAATCATATATGATGGATTTCTTGTCATAACAAGGTCAGTGCTGGCCTTTCCTGATACAATAATGAGTGGGGCCTCAAAGTATAATTCTGCTTAGGGACCCACTTTGGCCAGAGGCAGCCCCGCTGACAAATTACCACCTGTGTTGTGTTTTCTAAACAAAGTCCTTCCATCAGGATCGATTCCACAGTGCTTCATTTAAATATGCATCCTTTGGCTGCACTCTGCTGTGACCAAATCCATAGCAGAGCTCAGCTGCAGATCTTTATTATCGTCACGTCCTGCCACAGGAACTAAGAGGACCCAACAAACCGGCGCTGCATCGTTGCTTCCCTATTCCTAATGCATCATCTGTGTTCATCTCAGCCAGGATTTTGATTTTCAGAGGCTCTGTGTCTAAATGCTCTCAAACAAGAATCTAAATAAATCATTACAAACATCAAACAGCAATAATGTGAACTCTTCAGGAAGATATTTATGAAAAGGAAAGTCATAAGAATATTAAAATTAATCTAAGAAGAAGGATGGATGTGTCTGGTCTAAAACATTCAGCAAAAGCTACAAAAAACCCTCTAAGCGTATTATATCATTCTCAAAGATCAAATCAACTTCAAACGCTTTTTTATCAATATTTGATATTGTAATGGGAAAATGTTCTTTTTGCTTTGTGCAGTAGGTTTGTGTCATTTTATGCTACATGAAAGATTTAAGAGACAACAGGCTTGGCTCTGCTGAGATTTCATTAGTGGTTGCTGTTCCATTTTAGGCCACCAGATGGCAGCTGCGTTTCACTGGGAGAGCTGATTAGTGGTGAAATCAACCTCTGGAGCCGTTCACGTTTTGTTCTTCTGTGGTCACTTATATAATAGATGCAAATACAATGTTCATCTTTGGACAAACCACAGCTGTTTATTACTAATAAGTAGATCCAATTTGAAGCTGATACATATCACGTGGTTCCATGGTGTAATGGTTAGCACTCTGGACTCTGAATCCAGCGATCCGAGTTCAAATCTCGGTGGGACCTGACTTTTCTTTGAGTACATGCTTTCCGAGTTAAACAGGTGTAATTTTTTCTTTCTTCTTTTGGAAAATAAAACAACAACAAGTAAACAAAAAAGAAACACGCCCTTATGTATGCCAAATCTTACAGAATAATAGCTTATAATAAATTTGTCTTGATTTTAACCTAGAAATTAGAAAAATAAATGAAAAATCAAGAGACCTTCGCAGCGTTTTCGCTGCTCGGGCCTAATGAACAAAATTCACAAGGGTTCCTAGGAGAGGTGTGGACTTGAGTCACATGACTTGGATTCAAGTCAGACTCGAGTCATTATTTTACAGTAATGACTTCTGACTTGACTTGATAAAATCTATAGACTTACGACTTGACTCTGACTTGAACGCCAGTGACTTGCGACTTGAATCGGCTTGCGTGTGTTGACTTGATGATGACTTGAGCCTATTTGATATTTTAGCAGAAAAGTGGCACGACATGGACAAAAATCAGAAATCATTCTTGGTTGTGGGTTTGATTTTGTACTAAATGCAGCAGCACTTTGTTTAGAAACTGTTTAAGTTGCACTTTCTGCTTGTTTGAGCTAATAAATGAAGCTTTAAGAAGCTTTATTTCTGGAATATTTATTATCGTCTTTAAATTGAAGTTAGACAGATGACTTGATTATGACTTGAAAATTCAAAGTTAAGGACTTGGACTTGACTTGGACTTCCACATCATTGACTAGACTAGACTTGGACTTGGTTGCCTTTGACTTGGACTTGACTTGAGACTTGACTGGAAAGACTTGTGACTTACTTGAGACTTGAAGAGCAGTGACTTGGTCACACCTCTGGTTCCTAGTGAGCTTTACACTTGGATATTCTTCACAACCTGTTTCAGAGAAGTTTTGAGCAGGAGGGGTCAAAGAGTTCATTCAGGGACCCTTTAAGAACTTGGCCAAAGGTTCCTGCAGTGAGAGGAAGTCTGAGCAAGATGGCACGGAAAGCTCAAATATGAAGGAGGAAACAGGAAGAAAATTCAAATAACCATTGTGTTGTGGAAGACACACCTGCTGTTTAGTCTTTTTGTTTGTTTGTTTGTTTGTTTGTTTGTTTGTTTGTTTGTTTGTTTGTTTGTTTGTTTGATCTACAGCTCAGGAGCTCACCATGAAATCAACATGTTATCATGGATGCTTACTTTAGAGAATCATATCTCCTTGTCTAAATTTAAATGGGGCATTAAAGGGATATTCTACCCAAATGAAAATTGTGTCTATTTACATATTTCCCAAAGTTAGATAAGTGGGGAAAAATATTATTTTTAACCAGCCCAGTGATTCTCCTGACCCAGCTGTACTCCTTTAGCTTTAGCTTAGCATAACACACCGTAAGTGAATGGGTCCAACTAACATTGTGAGTAAAAAAGTCCTTAAAATCGCTCAGTAGTGATCCCAATTCTGCTTGATAGCCTAAATCAGTGGTTCCCAACCTTCTTCCCAAGGGACCCCGTTTTTTTCCAGTAAAATTTTTGACGACCCCCTCCCATTCTCTCTTCAAGTACAAACATTATTAAGAAATGATAAAATTGTTCAAGCACATTTTAATATGCTTTGATTGAATAGATAACAGTAATAGTAGGCTCCAGTACAGAACAAAGTCATTAACAAAACCAAACAGAGCATAATGTGCTTGACAGTTTGTATTACTTTTCTGAAAACATTGTTTCTTGTAAACACTGATAAATCAATCATTCCTTTCAATAAACATTTGACACATAAAAAATACACTGAGCAAAATGTACATAAACGTGTTTATTACTGTTTATACTAGATTATTTACTGTAAAGGCTAGGATTAATAAACCAGTCCTATCTTTAATGAACTTTTGACACTTGAAAATAAAACAGTGAGCTGAGCAAAATGTTCTTAAAAGTGTGTTACTTTTTCTGTACTAATTATTTCCTGTCTTAATTTCAGTAAACTTTTCACTCATGAAAAAAATGTGAGCAAAATGTAGGCTATAAACAAGTATTAAATGAAGTTTTAACCCCTTAAAGTGGAGAGGTCCTGGCGACCCACTGAGAGGCTTTGGCGCCCCCTTGTGGGGGTCGGGACCCCCAGGTTAGGAACCACTGGCCTAAATAATCAGACTGACAGCAAGTGAAAATAAATTGTAACATAAAGGAATCACAGTGCCATTTTAGACTTGGGACTACTTCATGACAAAGCACAGGTGTAAGCTACGGATAATATGCTTCCATAGTAAGCCTCCACTGGAAGGTGCAAGGCACCCCCAAAGGCACCTGCTTCCATAGGTTTCACTCTGGTTAAAAGTCACATAATCTTGTACAGTTCCTACAGAGAGACTTAAGCAAATTCAACCCAACAAGATTTTAAGATGTGTATTAAAACAACGTTAGGCCTGTGATCCAATTATCAACAAAATGCTATTTTGGGATATTAAATGCATGACTACCATTAATTTATTTTAGCAAAATTCATACTTTTTAACTACACAAAATCCCCCTTAAGTCTTTTGTAAATAGGTAAATAATTCAAACTTAGAATTCATGTAGCTCTAAAAAAATGCTCCCTTTTCCTCCCTGCCACTGCTCTGATGAAATACTTCAGGTGAAGTCAGGGATGGTTTCTGTTTCTCTTTTGTCTGACGTAATCTCAAAAACATAAATAAAACTCAACCTCCGCTGAGCATGAAATCCAATCCAAGTATAATGTCGTCACTATAACTTTCCTGGTAGAAAGTACCATTTTAAATTCTAAAACTCAAATAGATTTTATCGGGTTATTTAAATATTTACCCGATTGACATCTAGTTATTCATGCAAAACCACAAAATAGAAACACCCTCCCTTTATTATTTCTTTAAATATATAATCATCATGACAAAGCATGTAGGAGTCCATTTAAACGTCAGTTATTCTCTTATAATGACCAGCAGAGGGCAGTAAAGTCAACGGGTATATCTGCCTTTTTGAATCAGGTTAATCCTGAAAAATAAGTCATTCAACTAATTTGATACACAAATGCGTCTTTTTATTGTAGGAATTAAAGAATGACACAGCAACAATTAATTTTGGGATTAATTATAGAAAACAATGGCTTTAGTGGTTTCAGTCACCTTATGTTTTATAAGCTATTTGTCCTCCGCCTGTAGTGCGTCACATAACGTCCTATGTGTCCTATATTTGGGTATTTTACAACTTTTTTTTAACTGTTATCTAATTATTGTCTGAGTGTAATTCCATAATCTTTGTTGTAGTGTTGGGTTAATGATGCGTTCAAATACCATCCATATCACGGTAAATTCGCCAACTTCCTGTTGTTGAAACTATTTCATTACTGTGGTTTGGAAAATTTTCGACATGGCATCGATAGATGTCACAGCTGCCGGAGGTGTCACCAGTGACGTCAGCGATGGTTGTAATCAGTCACGTGGGCCTCGCAGCTCGGGATAAAACGCTGCTCAGAACTGGACCGTGTATTTGGGTCCTCGGAACCCGTAAGAAATTCTGATGTTTGTTTAATTTAAACATGATGAGCAATAATAAATAGAGCTGGACGCATTGAGGACGAATTATTTATCAGCAGAAATCAGTTCAACAGCTCGTCTTTCCATCATCGTGATGTGAGTAAATTCTTATTTAATTGGGAATAAAACAAACGGCACACCTTCAGTTTGCGGATTAAGATGTTTTTGTTTTTTTATACCTAATATTTATACATTTAAATGTTTGTAATCTAGCTTCGTGATTTACGAAATCATTTAAATGTCGGATTTCTTATTTGGATCATGTTCCGAAGGTATAAACAGGCTGGATCGGTGTCGTGCAGCTATGCAAGAATAACCTGATGTTTTATTTATTGGGCATCGCTGTCTGTGTTTTACTGTGCACCCATTGGTTACATTGCATTCAAGTGGAGGCCTTGCATCCATAATATATCATTATTATTAAACTGGATATAAATGAAATGCTTCTATGTTGGATCATCTGCACGGTTATTCCGTGTGCACGTGATGGAAGCTTTGCAAGCTTATCCAGTAAGGCTCTGTAGCGGTTTTTTTTTCTGTCTCTCTTCCTATTTCGAGCTTCTCCTCTATTTATCTTGGGTGTGTGGTCCCCTTCTGTCTTCGTGGAGGCCGGGTTACCCCTGTCACACATGAGCAAATGGCTGATGGGGGTCAGGACATTCGTCGTAGCTGTGAGAGGGAACAGATGCACGAGTGAAATAATGTAGTGGTGGTTCCCTCTCAGATCAGGCTGCTGCCCATCCTCCCTGCACCCCCCTGCTGTTGTTAAAACAAACCTCTCTAATCCCTGACAGCCTGCCTCTGTCTCCCTGGTCACAATATACCCACTTGAATATTAAAAACTTCCTTCACATCAGATCTATTTCACAAAATGTTACATTAGAAAGTTATATATAACTTAGACACACACACACACACACATATATACATATATATATATATAGTCTGCAACACATAAACTATGTGTGACACAAAGACGTATTTATAACCTTCAACATGAGCAGCATTCAGTAAAGGATGCCAAGCATTAATCGCCCGTTAAATAATTCTGTCTGCAAGTCTATCACAAAGTTTCAGCATTTTCATGCCTTGCAACTTAGAAAGAGAAGAGATGGTAAACATCCAAATTACACATCAAAGCACGCAGTCCAAATACCACACAAAGTATGGATTTTAAATTATTATAATGCTCCACTAGCAGCAACTTTAACATTTCTTAATATCTTGGTTCAGTCTTCTCATACATTTAGAATAGAATGGAATAGAATTGAATTGAATTCAATAAAATAGAACAGAACAGAATTAGAATAGAATAGATTAGAATAAAATAGAACAGAACTGAATTAGACCTGAATAGAATAGAATAGAATAGAATAGAATAGTTCTTCATTGTCATTGTACCTGATGGCACAATGAAATTGAGGGTGCTCCTACTGAGCCATCTTGAACCACAAATTGATAAAACTAAGCAGGTGGAAAAACGTGGTAGAGTATCATAAATACACATTTTCTAATTAAGTAAATACAACTGTAACGTGATGAGGTAGAAAATCATAATAAAACCCATTAATTGTGCTTATTTGTTAGTTTTACTATCACAAAAAAAATGTTTTTTTATTCCAGACAACAACTGTGTTGGCACACTTCAAAGTTTCTTTTAAAATGTTCTTTTTTACCTAAAAGTTTAAATGATCCATCCTTTTCTTTAATTGTGGTTCACCGATAAACTCATCCTACATTGCTCAAGAGTGTTAGTTAAACGGATTAAACAGAAAACATCTCTGATTGTGTGTCTACGTCTACAAAAATCCTATAGATTGAATGTAATCATCTCTGGAAAGTACACAGCTCTGATCTGACGCTCTTGGACCAAATTTGCACTGATGAAATATTCACAGAAAGTGGCCCAAGTGCTTTGCCAAAGCAGAGATGACTCATGAACACAGTGATGCTGGACTGGGAAGTCAGTTCGAAAAAGAGGAAATCCGCCATGTCCTTATTTGTTTTACGATCACAGAGAAAAGTGTGTTGAATGAAAAGATTGCAGCTCTTGCAGAGCCCACGAGTCACTCTCTTCCAGCTATGAGCCAACACAGGATTCCCCACAACAAGTAAGAGTTAAACAAAAATGATACTGAAAGATAAAGTTGTGATTTTACATGAATGAGGTTTTAATCGTGAACTAAAACTCCATATAAAAACAAAGTGTGCATGACGATCTTAAATCCTGAGTTAGGGTGATCAGAATAATGTTTCCAGCATCGGAGAAGCAAATGTTCAGTCTGCACTTCTCAGATTTCATTTTGCTGCTTTGGAGCAGATTAGATATCATTTTATTCTTCATGCTTCCTGTTGATGGGCAGACTCTGGCACTTTAGGATGTTGCTGCAGCTAAAACCAGAGATCACTTCCACATTTAATCCAGAATCTTTCTAGTATTTTATGACGCAGCTGTTGAGCTGCTGCAGTCGTGAGTTAAAAACAAAAGCAGGTAATTTATTTTTGAGTTATGCCACAGAGCAGAGGAGGTGAATCACTGAACAAAAGCTTTTTAGAGATTACTTTAATGGAATGGATTGAGGATGCAGATTATTATCGTTGTTTTCTTAATAAAGCTGCTGTAATTATGTAAAATGTGAGACCCTTAAGCCAACATTCTGAAGACTCCATCTCCACCATTTCTCAGCGTCTTTGTCATGTTTCGTTTCACGTTGTTCTAAATGTTTACAGTAAGTGAGAGCTAATGTGCTGAAGCTTCTTTTTCTTCTCATTTTGGCTGAAATAGACACTGAGAGAAGTTGTGTGGAAAAGAATATTATAAGATGCATCATCAGCTCCTTTTTGAAGCCCAGGCAATGCTATGATTTGACAAATAAGTTCAATTTGAATACATGCGCCTAACCCAAGGGATGAGCCTGTGTTGTGTTGGCTCATAAAGTGAGACTGGGTAGTTTTGGCATGCTTTTAGCACCCTCTAGTGTTCATTTGTAGAACCAAAAGGAAAATCTCTCTGTGCGTTTGTCTTTTTAACACCTTAATCTAAAAGCTGGAAAGTCTCCCCAGCCTTCATTAGTGTCTAACGGAGTGATTCTTCCCTAAATTTAACAAATCAGCTCTGTTCATGTTCTAAAACATGCAGGAAACGTGCTGGAACCAGACTGCTGTGTGAGGTATGTCAATATCAAGTCCCAACAGCGCGGCCCGCCAGTCTGAAGTTGCAAGTGGAATATTCTGGCCACAGGGGGCGACAGGGGCGGGGAGGCCTTTCATTAACCCCATAAAGGATCATTTTAGAACATGCTGGCTCACGAAAATGATTTAAAAATATGAAAAATTTGCTAAGTATGCCTTTACTTCACAAGCATTTATTGTTCACTACTTCTTATCAGCAGCATGTTGCTTGAAAACAAAACTTGCTCCCATTTTGTGTGTTTTGTTATATCATTCCATTAAGTCAAATCTTCACTGGAGTCATTAAAAGTCTGTAATAACTCTGGTGAAAAGAGCAATTACCTTTAAGGAAAACAGAACACATGTTGATGAGTCACGATTTATAAAATCACCATTTCCTGTTTGTCAGAAGCATGATTATGAAACACTAAATGAAGAGGGCTGAATGATGCTATTGAACATTTCAAAGGGGTTTATCAGTTAAAGGGGCAATGTGTCGTTTTTCACGTAAATCACTGGAAATATCCATCGAAATGTTGTTGAAAATGAATTAAATAATGCCCAGTTGTTGAAAAATATTGGCATCTTTGTAATATATAACCATAAAAATTTATTCTAAATGAGATGGGAGCACCCAAGTGTGGATCAATGGTGCAAAAGGGGCATGATCACTTTCCGCATGCCCTACGCACTCGCACGGTCACACCCCTGGCCAGGATTGCGCATTTGAAGGGCGCAAGCGTGGAAGTCTCTGAGCGATGCTTTATTAGATGCCATGTTTTCTTCTACCAGAGCCTGTGAGAACAAAACACATTTACTGACTTGGAACAAATGGTTATAAAACTTTTCCAGTCATAAGCGTTGCTATTTTACACATTTCCCTCTTTGCTCGTTGCCAGTGATGAAACAGAGGCTGATGTGCTTGCCCATTTTACTGTTGGTTGCACTCCCAAGCACTTTTGACCCTATTGGCCTTCTGTTGGTAAGGTCTTACTCCAACACAAAAATAACCCTTGCATGCAATGATTTAGGTATGTACTGCCCCCTATCACCAGGGAAAATACTCATCATCACTTTGACAAAAAGGTTATAAACTGATTAATTTCTCTCCCTCAGCATCAGCGTTGAAACGCTGACGTTTAGGTTATTTTTCACATTCTTACCCTAAGTGGTGACAAGTTGTCGGCATCATCTCACACCTACAGGGAGAAACTTTACTGAAGCACTGGGGTTAAAAACATCACTGAGGCCAAAGTCCTAGGTGAGATGTGACCCTTGGCTTTCTGTGTACCAGGCGTCCTAAAACGGGCACATTGTACATTAGGAACTCTCATATCTATGTGATGGAAAAATAAGCAGCTGTTTGCTGTGTGCGTGTGGGGGAAACTGCTGAAAGAGATAAAGCAGGCTCTTGAAGCTGAAGTAGAATATTCTGGCGTAGTGTTGAGAGGGTTTCCAGAGCTCCACGCTGTGTGATAAAAACCGTAACAAGCCGATTCACAGGCGCTCCCGCTATTCCTTTCATTTATCAGCGTATTGTTGAGCTCAGAATGGAAGCTCTCGGGACTTTTGCAGGCTTATAAACACTGTCTTCATCTCTGTTTCCCTCTTATAACATGCTTTCCTTTTCTTCTTCAGAGCCATGTGTTTTATTTTACATAATCAGTCATGGCACATACTGTAGCAAGGTCATTGGTCTTAAATGGTCCCATATTTTTTGTGAAATGTGGTGTTTTTGTAGACTGGAATGCTTGTTAAACACTTCCAGGTGCTCTTATTACGGTTCCTTATTTCTTTTATAAACTTTATTACATTGTTTGCTTGCTTTATGATGTCATTTCCAACATTTTAGGCCCTAAGAAGTCTAGATAGAATCTTTTAGAGCTATTATTCCCAACCCAGACTATCCTTTTTAATTGTAATGTTTTATTATTTTAAAGGGTGTTCTGGAAAATAAAAACTTTAAAAAGTTTAATTTAAAAAGGAAAAACAAAGTGAGGGCAGAGCTCTAACTGTTTCTTGCATCACTATAATTCCTGCATAGAGGGAATTTGAAGGTGATGCCCTGTTTGGCCTCCTTAGGTGGCTCAGATGGGTTCCTTTGTGTTGACAATAGCTTGTGTTCTTTTGAAGCTGGAGAATGTTTTGCAACATGGATAAAACAAATTACAATTCCTCTTTCTAATCTCCAGCGTAAAGTGGGAATGGGAAATGATGGAGGATAAAGGGCCCCGTGTAGCCGACTACTTTGTGGTTGCTGGCCTCACCGACTCGCCCAAGCCTCTTGAGGAGGATTTGCACTTTGACGATGCTGGCACCAAGTCTGTTAAATCCAAAGCTCCCATCACCGATGTTGCCATAGTGATACGCTCCCTCGGTGAGGAGGTACCCCCGGGCTTTACCTGTGTGGAGAGCACCCCCTCAGGCCTGTCCGCTGAGCTCAACGGGGCCAGTCTCCGGGGTCCGCAGATCTTCTTGTGCTACAAGAGAGGCAGAGATAAGCCTCCACTGACAGATCTTGGGTAAGAAGTAATCCTCACTCACTAACCCGTTACTCACCAAGCACCACTAATCACGTTGTCCACCTCGGCTCACGGTAATCTGCTCTGCAACATAAACTCCACAGTTCTTCTATGAATTATTTTTCTTTAATCCATCTCATATTTCAGAGTTCTGTATGAGTGGAAAGAGAAGCTTAAGCCTGGATGCCACATCGTCCAAACCACACCCTCAGGTCGTCCCGCCAACATCAGCAGCTCGTCCTCTCAGCGCATCTACGTCACCTACCGCCGCGCACCGAAGAGCCAGCCTCACACCTCCCTGGCTGTCACCGACGTCTGCGTCATCATTCCCGCTAAAGGGGAGACCCCTCCTCACACCTTCTGCAAGGTGGACAAAAACCTCAACAGCAGCATGGTATGATGGAGCGCCCAAAACATCTACACACGTAAAAGCGTTGTGGGTTTTTCACTGAGCTGTTTGTTTCAGTGGGGATCCTCGGTCTACCTTTGCTATAAGAAGTCTCTAGCTAAAGCAAACACAATCGCATATAAAGCAGGTAAAAACTAAAGTTTGGCTGCACATATGTGTCATTAATAAGCAATCACACACACATTTGTTATATTAACTTCTCTTTTGACTGTGCTGTGCTCAGGTTTACTGTGCAGGTACCCAGAAGAGGACTACGAGTCCTTCCCCCTGCCTGAGTCCGTGCCTATGTTCTGTCTGCCCATGGGGGCGATGATTGAGTGCTGGCCAGCTCACACCAAACACTCCCTGCCTGTTTTCTCTACGTTTGTGCTGACGGGGGCCTCTGGAGAAAAGGTACAACCACCTATCTCCATCACTGTTATCAAAAGCCACATTCTGGTTGAACTTGTATGCGCCTTAAGGAAACATTTTCACAAAGTTTTACATACTTCATCATTAGTTAAGGAGTTCCCCCAACAAGATTTGCTTTTTCACCCTTTACCACACATATTCTCCCTTTATTGCCTGTTCCTGTCTGCTCATCCATCTTCTTTTACCCGTCTGCCCTCTCACAGTGCATTACGATCCCTAATGGATCCACTTGTTGATAAGCTGCAGTGGTATTTCTGAGATAAAGAGACAATGTTATTCCCTTTTGAAACTCTGACTGGAATCAGGAATCAGTAAAAGGCTGTATTTGGAATCTTAAAAAGGCTTTAGGTCTTTTATAAGCAATGCAGCATAAAAGATGTTGCTCTTTTTTTGTGCAACTCATCTTCTGAATAATAAATGTCTTATACACCACGGGCTCAGGCTGGTGTGCATGTTTGAATGCCTGAGTGCTCATTTCTTCTTCCCTGCATCCTCTTGTCTATAGGCTAGTCTCATGGTGCTACATAAACACTGATTTGTTAATTTATTTGTGAGAAAGATCCTCAAACAACTGGTTTAGTTACCCTATCATGCTGAAAATCATTTTATGAAGACAGAGTGTTGTTTGAAACAAAACACTAATTTGAGTTGTAATGTTTTCATCAGGACAGGCATCCTCTGTGCTGATCATCACCCTTATATTATGACGTGTGTGCAGGTGTACGGAGCAGCCATCCAGTTTTATGAGCCTTACTCCGAGGAGAATCTGTCGGAGCGTCAGCGCTCGCAACTCGGCCTGCCAAGCTCCGATTTTGGACCTGATGGGACAAGAAATGTTTATAACAACAAGAGCATCTGCTTACTCTCCCACTGGCCCTTCTTTCCATCCTTCAGAAGTTTTCTCACGTTCCTCTACAGATACTCCATCTCTGGGCCACATGCACTCCCCATTGAAAAGTTAGTACTTTTTTAAAAGATCGTTTCTTTTTCTCACTAAAAGCATAAGAGATTCAGAGTTTCATGAGCATCTGATTGTTTTGTTTCCACAGGCACATCTCTCATTTTATGCAAAGTGTGCCGTTTCCCTCCACTCAAAGACCACGCATCCTTGTGCAGGTCAGAATAAATGACTTTACGTCTTTATTTGATGGTGTTAGACAAAGCTCATTAACAAGCTAAATTAACACCAGCTGATGCATAAACTTATGCTTGTTTTTCACAGTTGTCTCCACATGACAGCCTCATACTGAGCCAACCCGTGTCCTCTCCACTGCCTCTTAGGTGGAAACACTGAACAAATTACATTTTACTGTGACTTAGTGCCAGTTTCTGTTGCCGTTTTAATAATTTCCTTCTCCGTGTTTCTGTGCTGCAGCGGTGGGAGCCTCTCCACTTTACTCCTGAATCTGGGACCCAAAAATGCGGTCACTCTGCTGGTTCTGGCTGTCACAGAGCACAAGATCCTGGTTCATTCCTTGCGTCCAGCTGTGCTCACCAGTGTCACAGAAGCCCTTGTGTCTGTGAGCATCTTCTTCCTTATTTCTTCTTTTCATAAGAACAACAGTAAGGAAAATTATGCATTAAGTCATTGTGAACAGTCAAGAAGCTAGGCCCCAACCTTAATAAAGTAATGTATTTCTAATCACATCAAAGAGAACCATTTAGGATAATGGATCACAAGGCTGTCAGGGGAATGCAACACTTTCAAAAAGAGTTTACATTTAAAGTATTTACTGCATACGAAAAGGAAAATGCAGACTCAGGCCGAAACTCATAACATGATTTTGCTACTTTAGTTAGCATAAATATAAATTCATCAAATCCTTGAAAAGGGAGAAGTGCACTGCAAAACTGATTCCAGCAGGCTGAGAGAGAGAGAGAGAGAGAGAGAGAGAGAGAGAGAGAGAGAGAGAGAGAGAGAGAGAGAGAGAGAGAGAGAAGCAGAAAAGGACGAGTAATCTGCTGTCTTCGCAAAACAGGGCAGGCATGTCAGGAAATGTTTATTTATGATTAATTAGTTTACGATTGTATAAAATTTCTTCACGTTCAACAAACGATGCTCAATGCATTTATCTTACAGGATAATTTGTTTCTGGGACATCATTAGTACTGTTTGCTTGACTAATTTAGGTGATAAGATGTTCTGTTTATTTTTGCAAGTTCTTGCAGGGCAGTAGGTGTATTACCTGTAATGATGGAAATAAATGTTCTCCTTTCAGATGATCTTTCCTTTTCACTGGCCATGCCCCTACATCCCTCTGTGCCCACTGGCCTTGGCAGATGTTCTCAGCGCTCCATGTCCTTTCATTGTGGGTTTGGACTCCAGATACTTTGACCTTTATGTGCCTCCTGCTGATATCAGCTGTGTTGACTTGGACACCAACACCATCTCCCAGTAAGTAACAGCTGATTAAAGTCTTCCAACTTCCCCAGCCAAAGATATTTCTCTGTGCTTCAGGCTTATATTGGCCTGTTTTGATCTCATTTTATCAGCATCTGTCAGTGAGAGCTTCTCTTATTTAATAACGTGTTGCTGGAATTTGAAATATTTTACTGTAAGATGTTTTGTGGCCTCTAAATCACATCAAACATGCTTGTAAAGAAATGGAGTTGTCAGGGTTGATGTCAGCGAACCTGTGAAATGTTTTTTTGCAAATCCTTCTTGATGGTCTTCTCGTGTGATGAAAAGCGTATGGTGTTTCTTTCAGAAAAGACGACAAGAAGGCTTTGACTTGGAAAACCCTGCCTCGGAGAGCTTGTAAACATCTCCTGAATACCCTGAATAAGCTCTATCAGCAGCTCTCAGAGGGTGAGTCCAGTTTGATGCCGTGTCATTCTCTAAAGTCATTTCATGCATAATTTATATCCCTACAGAAATATGTTGAGTCAGCCTAGATATTTGACTTTACAGGAAGACTGAACTCACTCTTCCATAAAAACATCATATGATCTTTACTGAATCACAGGAGCTCTTGAAGCTGATGTGTCAAGAAACAACTTTCAACCAGAGAAAGTCTGAGCTGACATGAGATCCTGCAGAAGTTTACATAAATGTTTCTAATATTCACATTTAGCTTTTTTGTTTGCTTATCTGCCTTCATTAGAATCATTACATTATTGCTAGAAGACCTAAAGATGTTTGTCATGCACACCTATGTAGCGAACATTTCATTCTTGATGGCAATATTAGAGAGCCGCAGATGATATTTGTTAACTGTCTAATTAGCTTTTTATGTCAAGGTTTTAAAATTTAGGTTTAAGCAGGATCAAGTCCACAGGAACTGTAGCTATCATACAGTCTAAATGTTTTATACCAATGTTTTCCTTTTTTATGCAACAAACTTTCAGTTTTCTTTTTCTTTGTCCAAAATTTGTCATTGGATTATAATGAAAAGTAAAACCCAATTAATTGATTGATTGGTTGGTTGGTTGGTTGGTTGGTTGGTTGGTTGACTAATTGATATTGATTGACTGATTGTTTGTTTTGTTGGTTGGTTGGTTGGTTGACTAAATGTATATTGATTGATTGACTGATTGGTTGGTTGGTTGGTTGGTTGGTTGGTTGGTTGGTTGGTTGGTTGACTGACCGACTGACTGACTGACTGACTGACTGAATGGTTGGTTGATATTGACTGATTGGTTGGTTGGTTGGTTGGTTGGTTGACAAATTGATATTGATTGATTGACTGGCTGGTTGGTTGGTTGGTTGGTTGACTAATTGATGTTGATTGACTGGTTGGTTGGTTGGTTGGTTGACTAATTGATATTGATTGATTGACTGACTGGTTGGTTGGTTGGTTGGTTGGTTGGTTGGTTGACAAATTGATTTTGATTGATTGACTGGTTGGTTGGCTGGTTGGTTGACTAATTGAAATTGAATGACTGATTGGTCAGTTGGTTTGTTGGTTGATTAATTTATATTGATTGACTGGTTGGTTGGTTGGTTGGTTGGTTGGTTGGTTGACTGATATTGACTGACTGACTGATTGGTTGGTTGGTTGATTGTGTTTCTTTCAGCTGCACAACTCCAAAACAAACAACAAAAACTACATAGCAATGTACAATAAAACAACCTAAAAAAGAAACCACACATATTGATGTCCATCCTTTGCTAAACTCCTATCTAAAGAACATGTAAACCACAGTTAATAGAAAATGTCTTATCCATAAACAAATAAAGATGTTAATATTATTTTCACAAACTCTAGATTGCCTTAAATTATTTCTCTTCATCTGTGTATTGTTTCTTGTTAACTCTGTTTCTGTGGTGTCAGCATGGTATTTTGGTCTCTTCATCACTTTGATCCAGTCTGAAATCTCCACAGCTATTGATCACACATCTGTAAAACTAGGTGCAGTCATTCACAGTCCTGACTCACAAAGACTGTAGGCTGTAATGCTTTCACTTGCTGTGCACAACATTAATACTAAAACCCACCTGTTATACCATTGTGGTCTCTGTAGCCCTGTCATCAATGTGCACCTCTGTGGAAGTTATTTATTTTAATGCCCATCCTTGTGTGAATCTGTTAGTATTTCTAGATTCTAAGCTGTCCTGATTTGTTCTTTCAGGTGGTCATTTAAACCGAGATGATGTGCAGATGGACCACACGGTGACCGACAGCGAGCTGTACGGTGGGAAAAGCCTGCACACTCTGGAGCTGGAGATCCAAGAGGCCTTCCTCCGCTTCATGGCAGCCATCCTGCGGGGCTACCGCTCCTGTCTGCAGCCCATCACCCAGGCCCCCTCTGAGAAAACCACTGATGTCACCTCGCTTTTTGATCTGCAAGGTAAGTCACAGATGGATGAAGAAAAGAAAACCTGTCCAATGGAGATATTACTGCTTTTCTCATACATACATCTAAATGGTATAATTATGACTCCAATTATGATTAGACTATTTTCCCGGTGGTGTATTATGAAATTTTGAAGCCGGTTGCTTTCCTGTCCATGTAATCTAACGCTGCTGCATGCTTCAAAATTTGGCTTAATTTAGAGCTGATTATCTAACGTCAGCCTCAGTGGAAATTAGACTTGGATGACAAGTCAGAGAGGCGATGTGATTAACAACACAATGTCCCTGCACATCTGTGTGCTCTTATGCAATCAGAATGTTTCATTTCAATCCCACAGAGTTTGTTTTCTAAAGCACTGGTTAAGTGTGCATCTTGACTCTGTAAATGTTTCATTACTGGCTGAAATGTAAACATCTGTCCAGTGATTTACAGTTTTTACAATTGTTATAATAAATAATGTGTTGCTTTTTTGTTTGCAGGCTTTCTGAAGAGCAGAGATCGCTCCCATCAGAGGTTTTACTCCCTCATGACAAAGACTCAGATGTTCAGCCGTTTCATAGAGGAGTGCTCCTTTGTTAGTGATAAAGATGCCAGCCTGGCTTTCTTTGATGAGTGTGTTGATAAGGTGAGGATTACAGATAATTTATAGAAGTAGGAAGTTTGCTGAACTGCTCAAAAACAATATTCAAAGAAATGGTTTTCAATTTCTTTGAATATTTTTCTATTTTCTTATGTTTGCTTTATTGTCGTTTCTTTCCGCTTCATTATTTGCCTGGTAGTTATTCACTACTGGAAGCAAGGTAAGCCGCCTGAGCTTGTGTTGTGGTTGGAACTTTCTCTGTTTGTGTGTTGAGTCATTGCATTATTTATTTTCATGTTATTTCAGTCCCGGTATTGTAAACTCCACTTATTAATTTTTTTTGGATGTGTGTTTCCACTCAAATGCTAAATATTTGCAGATTTGAAAGGGTTTATGAACAAAAACTGTCAATGTGCTTTGTTCCACACACACAAAAGTGACAAAACATCCTCCCACTTCCGTCAAAAAAACACAAAAACATCTTTGCGGCTGCAAACTTGTGCAATCAGGAAGTCACATTTACATCCAGCTAGAAAAGGAACACGTCCTGCATCCTGGTCAACGTGTTTATTACTGGGAAGTGGAAGCATTGATTCATTCAGCTCGATTGCTGCTGAGGTTGACAACAAATGTGTGATTGAGAAAGAGCTTTTGGGTGTAAGAGGAAGGACAGGAGAAGCAGTGCTGAGCAGAATCGAAGTGAAGACAAATAGGTCAAGTCAGAGCTGGTTGACTGAATCATCCACTCAAAAGAGTGGAACAAACATTTCACAATTCATGTTCACTGGGAGAACTGCTTTCATGATATTTAGATTTTTTGTTTAAATTTTTCCCAGAATAATCAATTTAGACAACCCAAGGCACTAGAAGAGCTACTAGACAGCTATTAAATGCAGTTTTTAACCTTTGTGACCGTTTTTCTCCATGCAGCAGATCAGTGAAGCTGAAGCTAACGTGGCAGTTTAGTGTCATTAGTGCAGCCAAAACGTCAAAGACTCCAAATCAAATGGACTTGTGGCTCTAGAGAGACACGGAGTAAACTTTGTCCAGGTCACTGAAGCTTATAGTTTCATTTGGTCTTAAAGGCTTTATGGGTCAAGCCCCTCGTTTGGCACTTCCCTTTAGAGAAACGTTTTCTGATATCTGCTCGCTCTCACTGACCCTCATCTCTGATTGCCCATACAGATCTAAGTCATGTGCCGCGTTTATGCATAGGGATGTATTTTAATAGTACGAAGAGATGAATTAAATGTTTGTTCAAACCAGATGGACAGCGAGCGTCAAGAGGACAACAGACTGATCGAGCTGGACGAGTCCCACCGTAGTGAGCACACGGTCTACATCAACCCTCCAGAGCTGCCTCCTCTTCCTCAGGGGGAAGAACATCCTCTGTGCTACAGGTAAAAGGCCTCAGACTGATCTTTTAGAAACAGACGCGAGACAAACTGCTTCTTTCTTTTACCCCGTTTCTCTCAATCGCTGTGTGAACTGAAACACAGCTCCCAAAGAGGAGGCTTAGCATAAATCTCTTTTGTTGTTGAAGACTTTGTCGCAGCTGCCGAGCGTTTTTGATCACATAAAGCTGAAAGGCATGGCCGCTGAGTATATGCTGGCACTCAGGCTTCCAGGGAATCGGAACAAAAATGTTATAATATATCTTACTGTAGTGTTTTCTGTCTGATATCATAGTGAGCTTGTGTCTTTTTGCAGCTACTCCGGGTTTCCTGTGCTGATGTCGGAGCTCCTAGAGCCAATGGAAGGACTAAATCCCCTGTCAGCTGGCATTGCTTCACGCCACAGCAGCCCAGCCAGCCCTACGGCCATCTTCAGACGCTCCAAACAGGTCAACCAAAATAAATCTTCATGTGGCATTTAGTAAACCGTAAAAAAAATCTATTTGTTTTGTATCCTGTTCATGCTGTGTAGAGTTTAGCAAACATGAATGCATTCAAACATGTTTTCACGTTGTAATTTTACAAATTTGGGTGAAACGTGCAACAAATCTTATTGGTTTGTAATATTTATTTGTTGTAGGAGATCAAATCAGCCCATAAAATGGCCAAAACACATTCCTCCGTGCCTCAGATGTGGTCCAAGTGTCTGCTTCGCCACTGCTACGGCTTGTGGTTTATCTGCTTGCCCGGGCTTGTGGGTAACTGTCACTCCAAGGTGCGAGCTCTGCGCACAGCTCATGATGTGTTGAGGAAGATGCAGGACAAGAAGCTGCAGGCTCCAGATGAGGTATGAAAACGATATATGAGTTTTGGGATGTTGTTTTTGTATATTTTTAACTAAAAGTTTCTTTTTTCCTGTTTAAGGTGTGCTACCGCGTTCTGCTGCAGCTGTGTGGCCAGTTCAGTCAGCCGGTGATGGCTGTCAGGGTGTTGTTTGAGATGAAGAAGGCCGGAGTTCAACCAAATGCTATAACTTATGGTTACTATAACAAGGTGTGTTCTCCTAAAAACACTTATAATAAAGTAGTAATCCAAAGTGACTCAACTTTTACCTGTTTTAATTTGATATTTGAAATTTTCTTGTTTGTCTTTTCAAGGCGGTATTGGAGAGCACCTGGCCCTCCACCACCAGAGGAGGCTACTTCCTGTGGGGGAAACTCAGGAACGTGATCCTGGGTGTCCTCCAGTTCAAGCAAGCAGGGAGAAAGCTCCAGACTCCTCACAGAGACCCACAGCTTTCAGGTGAGAACATCAAAACTTCTACAATTCTTTCTTGAGCATCTGATGTCAGGTTATAATAAATTCCAGAGAGATTTGCTACTGTTTCTCAAAGGACATGTTTTAGCAAAATTCAATCCTGTCAATAGAAATGATCAAATGTTTGATGGGATTAAAAGAAAACACACAAACTAACAGAAAATTGTCAGTAATTACATTTATTTTTTTTGACATTTACAAAAACCAATATTTAGTTTTATGACTTTAAAATTATTTAAAACATCATTCAGTTTTAATTTCTTTCTACAAATAAAAAAAATCAGGAGCAGAAGATGTTTGATATGAGTTCAGTTGAGTCAATTAAAGTTTTAATTTGTTGTTTTGTTTTTATTTTGTCACTCTAAGAGTCAGATCTTGTGGGATCATTTGTTTCTCCTCCTCTAGCACGCTGTGTTCCCCATCTGCATTCCTTTAATGACTGTGATATAATATTAATTAAAGAAGGCTTCTTCTCTCTGCAGCACAGGTTTGTATTGTTGACACATCCCCTAATTCCCCACAACAAACTAAGAAGGCTCTCATTAGCATAATGACAAGATGCGTGGGGGTTCTAATAGAAACATCATGCCGTACATGATCAACTCTGTTCCTGGTGGTTTATTCTTTGATTTTATTTGTTATTTAATTAACTTTCATCCTAAATTTGCAGCTTTCAAATGCATAAGATTCATTTATTCCTTATTAGTGCATCATTCAAACAGTATTGTTTGTTTTCTGTGTAAAAGTAGCAGAGCATTTCTGCTCCTCCATCTTACTGGTTGAAAGTGGAGCTACAACGGTTGTAAACAACACTGCAGCAGCCTGCTGTAGCTAGCGCTAACCAAGGGCTAACACTGACATGAGCCAATTAATCCTAAAATAAACCACGACGTAAAAAGAGCCACACTGTTGGACAAAAAATATATTATTACTTACAAGTCCAGTGGCAACAAAGCATGGTCACCATCAGTGGTTTTGTGGCTTCCTTTAGCTCCTTCAAACAAATGTAGGCAGCGCCGATATTTTTACTCTGGTTTGAGTTTTTTGCTTTGCCTCCAAAGATATTACTCTGTTACTTTTATTTCCAGGCTTAGCCATGAAGCCAAGACAAAAAGCAAACTTCTTTTTTTCTTCTTGCGCTTTTTATTGACAATCAGCAAACTGAAAATGCTAACCACTAGCATTACAGCTAATAGCTGTAAAGCAGGTAAAGAGCGCCCCCTAACCCCTGTTTCACACTGGAAGCATGAAGCGGCTCAGAAAGGCAGTGGAACGCTTTAGTCTCACTCACTTGACTCGCAAGATCACAAGATCCCTCGAGACTTGAAAGGTCACAGTTTGTTTATGAAATTTGCCATTAAACCAAAAAGGAGGAAATCATGTTTGTTATCGCTGTTTGATGTCACATGTGATGTTGTTCCTTTCCACTGCCAGGATTAAAACCATGAAAAACACACCGCTGCCCTTCTGGAATGATAGTGTGAGTAAATAAGCCATTGGGTCTCACATATGAAATTGTATTGCTGCATTTACTTTTATTTTGAAAAATACTGGGGATTTTACACTGAAACCGTGTATGATTTTCTGTCTAGTCTGAGCGTGGCTGTGTCTGCAGCTCACCACTGCCCCAGGGGATGGGTCAAATGTGACAAATAAGTTTCACACGCATCAGTGTGTGTGACAACTAGTGGGACTTTAACTTTAACTTCGGAAATTGATGCATCCCGGAAGCGTCTCGCGGGAAACCCGAACCCATCGTCAGCAGCGTGGCGTGCCATACGCTCACCATACACTATAATGGATTCTATTTGAAGTAGCGACGTTCTGCTGCTGTTCCACGCCGCTAATGCTTTCAGTGTGAAATTGGTAAGACACCTAGCTGCTCCACAAAACAATCAAGTGCAGTTTTTGGCCAGCAGAGGGCGGCAGAGTGGTGTCAAAAATGAAACTGGTCAAGTTTCTAACTCAACCATCACCGAGATTAATGTTAAAGCTCTAGATTAAAGTTAAAAAAACTGTCTATTGTTACTTTAAGCTTCTCATCTGTTTTCTCTTCAGACGGCAGTGACCTGGACACGGTCAGTCATGGCAGTCTGGACAGCGCCAATGATTCCGCTGAGCGCACCTCCATCGACACAGACTTCACTAAAATGGACTCGAGTGATGATGGATTTAGCACAGGTAGGATGACGCTGCTCTGTTTAAATTCCTCACTTTTTATCCATTTTTTGTGTATTTATTTTGGTAACTACGTTGATTAGTGATAGTAGCCTTCTAGATCTATGTCGGTGCACTAAAATATGTCTCATGGTGCTTTGAATGAAACAACAATATTGGAAATGTTAATTTTAGAGAATATAAAGGATCAGGTTTGCGTCTCTTCCCACAGATTGACCTTGTGAGTGATGCAAGTTTTTTAAAAGACTCCAATCCTTTATTGCTTCTGCTGCTTTTCTATTCCGAGAGCGTTGTCTGCTGTATGAGCTGTGGGCAATGTCATCATGCTCTTTTGAAGAAAAACTCTCAGATCATCTGTCTTCTGGAAAACATCCTTGAAAACATGTAGTACAGTTTCAATCCCCTCAGCTTGTTCTGAAAGGAGAAAAGAATAAACCGTGAAGGAAAGTAATAACAGCTCTCTGAGGAGTAAAGCTTCTTTTTTTCTTTTGCAGGTGGACAGTCGGATCAAGGCTACGACTCCCTGTCCAAAGAGGAGGAGAGGGTGTGCAGCAGAGAGATGGACGCCTCGGCATCGGGCGAAGACAAAGGCTCCAGACAGTCTAGTGAGTTGCTGAAAAGCTTTGTTAATTTTGGGATTTTCCCACTTAGTGGCCATTTCTGCAGAAGTGAGTCACGGCGTATAGCAACACCAATGCTTTTCCTTTAAGATCTGCAGAATGAAACCACGCTGTGGGTGTCGTGTTCTCTTCATCTATCCTTTCGAGGTTATTTTTAGGTGCTTTTCAGGGAAAAAAAATCTTTTGGTGAATGTGTTATGCAAGCAGATATTTCTTTGGGATCTCTCTTGAAGTTTATTGCAGCATTCTGCATTTTATTCTGCATTTTGTGTCTGATGAAGCATCAATCTCACTTTTAGAGATGTTTTAAAATGAACCCTAACTCTTGAAAAAGAAACAAAACATATGAAATATTATTCCTTCTTCCTGGTTGAGTTAAAGCAACATACCAGCAGTATAAAAATTCATGAATGCAATAGTCACATTTGTAAAAACAACAAAAACAACGTTGTGCAATAATATTTGTTATAAATAAGTAACAAATTTTATCCTCTTTTATTTGTCCAGCAACTAAAATGTGGGTTCTGTAGACATTTTAAGCCAACAAATGATGTTTTATTTATAATAAGGTAATTGTAAAAGTTTCCGCAGCTGAAATCTCTCTGACCTGAACGTTTTGTGAATTGTTTTTCTCTCAGGCAGCGGACACAGGGTGACTTTGGGTCCATCTGGGGACAATCCTCCATGTGCAGAGAGGCCCAGATTCCTGGACTTGTCTGGAGGACAGGGATTTGTGAGGCTCACCGTCCCTCTCCTCAGTGCTGCCAAGCAGAATCAGCTTTCCACTGACAGACTAGGTGGAGTGGAGGAGGAGGAGACAGAGACTGATAAACAGAAACCTCTGGTGGAAAATGGTGGGATCTCCATTGATGGGACAGAGAGGAGGGCCGGTGTTGAGACGAGGTTCGATCCCCAGATGGTGACAGAGTGTGACCAGGACAGCAGCCGCTCACCTAGCACCAACCTCACTGAGGAAATCGAAACGTATATAAATCACAGCAACAGCCCTCTTAGCAGCTATGCTCCCAGTTTGGATTTTCAGAACCCTTCAAGCCCTTTGTTTCGCTCGCCCTCATTCACTCATACGTCCTCACTGTCCTCAACTCTGTCCCGCTCCAACACGCACCTCTCACTGCCGGTCAGATCTAAGGAGAGGCTAAGGCCGTCGCCTTCTCTTCCTTTGGGGATGTGTAACAAAGACAAGGAGAGGCCCTCCTCCTTGATTTTACCATCATCACCGACTCCCTCCGCCTCATCCTTCTCCATGGACTCGCTGCTGACCCCGACTCTGGACATCTTCAAGAGCAGCGTCATATCAGCAGGGAAGGGCGTGGCTGAGAAGGCTAGTCGCCTCTACTCTCGTCTGTCCTCCCAGACTTCGTTAACGCAGGTTTGACTCTTGAGACATTTTCAGCTGATTTCCAGCTCATATGAACCTACTTAACAGCATTTTTTTTTTCATTTGTGCCCCCTGCAGGATGCGAACTGTGATCGAATGAGCGTTTCCTCGCTGACCTCAGCAGACACAGAGTGTTCTTCGCTGCTCGATAATGACTCCTGTCTGGACCCACTCGGCTTCACTTCCCCTCAGCACTGCAGCACGACCCGGGTCAGGAGGAGTCCTGTCGCGTCTCACCAAACGAACCTGGGCAGTCCAAGCAGCCCCAACAGAGTGTTCAGACACAACTCGTTTTCTGGTTTGTGCCTTTCATCCTTCTACACCGGTGTTACTGACGCAAGTGTGTTTTGGTTAAATTCTAAGTTAGTTTAAAAAAAATAAAAGTATTTTGGATTTTCCAAGAAAAAATCTAGATTATCTAAATTTAGAGTAAGAGGAGTGGAGTTTGACATTGTTCTGTGAGATATTAGGCCAACAGGCATGCTCAGTGTAAAGCCCTTTCTGCAACTAGCCGCAAGCTTTATGCTAAACATGGGCACGTGCACACGTCCATGCACTTTCACATAATCCCTTCAACACAAAAAACTCCAAATAAATGTAACCGAGATAGCTGCTTTAGTAAATATATTCACCATAATTTTTTTATTCACATATGCATGAATCTGTTAACAGTCGTTGTGTTTTTCATCATGTCCAGGTGGTCTGGCTCTTCCGTCTAGAGTTCCTCACACTCCGGATTCCTCCCCAGATGTCAGCCGCTTCCAGCCCTCTCCTAATTACATCATAGAGGTAAAAATGCTTGCTTTCAGGGTTTTTGATCAGAACCCGGACTCCAAATTTTATTATGATTTATCCATGTTGCTTGCTGCCGTAGGTGCTTATGTCCAGCTGTTCAATTTGTAAGACGTGTGACTGCATGGTGTATGATGAAGAGATCATGGCAGGATGGACAGCAAACGACTCAAACCTCAACAGTACCTGTCCATTCTGTGGCACAGCCTTCCTGCCTTTCCTCAATGTGGAAATCAAAGATCTCAGACCACAAAATAGGTAAAGTTGTCAAAAATCAGCAAAAATGCCACAATGCCTAATTTTTTCTCCTCTGGGTTCACTGGCCAAAAAGAAAACACCCCAACACTAACCCTAAACATTGTACAACATGAGAGCTGCCACAAAGACACAGTTTGTTTTCATTTCTTTAGTTGCATCTAAAAAAAACTAAATTTAACTTAATTTACACATGAAATATTAATTTAACGTAAATAAAATAAATCTCAAAAAGTTGCTACCTAGAATCTTGGCATCTTCTTGGATCATTTTACACAGAATTTAATAGGTTTAAAAATCACACACACACACACACACACACACACACACACACACACACACACACACACACACACACACACACACACACACACACACAGAAAGTACCTCTTAACCCCATGGCCTCTTTAAACAGATCTGCTCTGTCTCCCCACAGGTCTTCTAAGAGAAGTAATCCCGTTAAAGAGGAGGACATGTCTGCACCGCTCAGTCCTGAGGACAACATGTCTGATGCTGCAGCTCAGCCATCTGCAGCTCCGGCTCAGAAGCAGGACAGCATCTGGAGCTCTGGCACATCTCCACCAGCCTCTGATCCAGTGACGGTGCCGTACCTGAGCCCTTTGGTTCTGTGGAAGGAGCTGGAGAGCCTGCTGGTAAACGAGGGCGACCAGGCCCTCTCCTCCCCAAGTGTTGTTGACCAACACCCTATTGTCTTCTGGAACCTGGTGTGGTACTTTAAAAGGCTGGAGCTACCAAGTAACCTGCCAGCTTTAATCCTGGCCTCCCAACACTGCAGCCATGGAGACCAGGTACATCTACCAGTCTGTGTGATGTAACTATCAGCTGCTCAGAAATCATATTTTACCTACTTGGCCAAGAAAAAAGAAAATAAACATTCCTTCAGTACAGAATCTACCGTTCGTTTTGAAACTCTACAATTAACATATTTAATATAACTAGTTACATCATTAAACATCAGAGGCTAAGGAAAAACAAGACTTTGGTGTTATTTTAAATATGCAAATGATGGCGTGTTCAGCTGGAACTTTGGTGCCTCCTAGTGTTACTTAAGGAGGTTAAATAAAACTTCCCATTTCCATTCTCTCCAGACTCCCCCGATCGTTTCCTCAGAGGACAGCAAACAGGTGCTCGTGAGGATCATGTGGGACAACTTGAAGTTGCACAAAGACAAAGTCCAACCCTGCTATGTCCTATGGAATGCTCACTGTAAGTTCATGCTGAATTTACTCACCTCAAACTGTGGTATAAAAGTTCCTTTCAAGAAAGTTTTGTTCTTTGACGGTCATGTTTTTGTAGGAAATAATGATGCACATAATAGGAACATCCTGCTTTATTCAGCTCAGACCTCCTGTTAGTTATGCTAATTTTATCACTTCTTTCAGAGCTGATTTTGATGAAGCCGACTTTCATTTCATTGTGTGTGCAGGTGCCAACTCCTTGATCCGATCTGGGCTGTGTGAAGAAGGCCAGCTCTTCACCGTGGAGCTGCTGCAGGGCTTCGTGAGGAGCATCAAGAAAAGTGATGTTCATCAGCCCATGAGCCAGATCATCCAGCTGCTTGGGCCTGAGTTGGGCTTCAAGAGACAGAGGTGAGCAAAGAAAGATGTTTAAATTGTGTAAAAAATGTAGGACAGGTTGTTTGGATGGAGTGTCTCATTTTTGTCTTCTTTTACCCAAACAGGAGCCTCTACAGAGATTTACTGTTTCTGACTCTTGTGGCTTTGGGGAGAAATAACATTAATATCAGTAAGTTCAAATCTCCTGACAACTTCATTTTAGTCATTCCAAATGAAAACATATGGTTTATGTATTTATATTATTTTTTCATTGATGATCTAAGTTTTCAATCAAATATTTAGTTTAAAGTTTAGACATATTTTCCCTCTCCAGTGAAAGAAACACCACATAAATCTGCATTTGGAGCTTTTGAAAGCAATGAATTTCAATATTAAAGGTGTACTAGAATTTAAAACCACATATACCTTGTTGAATATTTGCATCCTGGGGTGCCTAGCGTAGCATACCAAAAGTGTGTGCTGTCTCCAACCTGCTCTTCTATGTAAATTAGTAAAGTTGTTATGGCCACGGAGAAAAAGTTCATTCTGGTGTTACACATCATCAGCTTAAACACCACTTTACATCATTATGTTTCAACCCGCTTCAACTTAGGGCTGGGCGATATGACGATTTTAGACCGTTTTACGATCTACACATCTGACGGTCTGTCATTTTTGAGAGACCTTTTTATCACGATTCACAGCTCTGCTGTTCAATTTCTGTCTCTTGAATGAAAAGGGAACTTATCCCAGGCGAATGACACGCCTTTGTTTGACCCTTAACCAATCAGAGTGAGTCATAGTAATATATTAGTGCCCCGCTTGTTTTCACCTGTGTGTGAACAAACATGGCTTCGGCCGCGGCTGAGAGCGACAACGAGGTTTTCGTTCCGAAGAGGAACGCCTCGTCCATTATATGGAACTGGTTTGGTTTTTCACCAGATGACAAAGAGCAGCGAAACGCCATTTGCAAGGAGAGCGTCAAGGCAAGTGATGGCAACACCACAAACTTGTTTAATCACTTGAAAAGAAGGCATCCCAAACAGTACAATGAGAGCCAGCTGGCAACTAAAGCTAAAAAGGCTGCGGCTGCAGCGGCTAGTGATTCTTCCAGGCAGCAAACGCTAACAGAAACACAAAACTCACTCCTTACGACAGAGACAGCAGACGATGGAACAGCGTGACCGATGCAGTGACGTACCACTTGGTTAAAGATTTGTGTCCCGTGCGAACAGTAGGAGTGGGATTTAAGAACATGATAAAAACATTGGATCTGCGCTACGAGTTTTCCAGCCGCAAGTATTTTTCTAACACCGCCATTCCACGCATGTATGCTGAATGCAAAGTGAGTGTTGCAGAAAACATTCAGAATGCGCAGTTATTTGCTACCACAAGCGATCTCTGGTCCAGCCGCACATCAGAGCCGTATTTGAGCTTAACTATCCACTACATGAGCAACTGGGAGCTACATAGTATTTTGAACAAGTTCATGTTTGCACAATACGTTTGCAATTGACATGTTTGCACTTTAAATATGTTTACGATTTTAATTTATGTTAAGTTACTTGAAAAACGAGAAAAACTGATTTTTGTAATTGTTTCTCTCAGGGCTTTTATCATCTCTGGTGTGAGTTTAAAATATAAGTGTGTTAGCACTGTGTTGATTATCCCTAATATGAATAAGTGTTTATTTATTCAGTGTTTCACTTCTTTAATACGCAATTGAAGTTATGCTATTCATGGATAAAAAATCGTGATAAAATCGAAATCGTGATAAAATATTGGAAAAATCTTGATATTCTATTTTTGCCATATCGCCCAGCCCTAGTTCAACGCTAGCAACGTTAGCCTAAGCTGCTTCCAGCCTAGCCTGAGCTACTGCTAAAATCCTTGTTGTACCACACACACACACACACACACACACACACACACACACACACACACACATACACACACAAAGGGCTTTCTAGCTTCAGGCAGCTTCAGACATTGGGATTAACTAATTTAATATATGTGAAGAATGGGCAGGACAAACAGCCTTTCTGCTGTAGGCCTTTATGTTTGGCCATTAATCAGGGCTCCTGGGCCATTGTGAGCTCCAACAAAGTATAATGGGCCATCCCCATCTGTACCGGGTCGGCCCGGGCCGGGTAGCCCCAGTCGGCCCCAGCCTGGCCTGGTTGATTCCACACATCCTTGCCTTAAGCCCATGTGGGCTGATTCTACCCACCAATCAATGGCTTGCTCTAATGGAAGGTGTGAATTTGCTGTCAGCAGTGGGTGTGTTGGCCCTGGTCGGCCTGAAGCAGACCCCCTCGAGAAGAGGGCTGAGAATGAGACTTGGTTGGCCCGGAAAAATACCAGGCCACCCAGATACGTAAACAACCTACGCTACCCGGCCCGGGCCGACCCGGTACAGATGGGAATGGCCCATAATATGCCTTATAGAGGCTCAAAGAACAGTTTCAGTTGTAAAAATAAAAGATTTGTTCTCTGTTTGAATGAGCTTCTTAAGGCATTTTTCAGTTACTTCAGCTCATAAAATAACAATGCTATAACCATGAAGCTATCATGTAAAAATGAAAAACTGCAGTGAGGTTAACAGTCTAAAGTCCACAAGACACATATTTAACGAAAACAGATGAGCAGGGAAGAATGCTTCCTGATATAATTCTGCATGTTTTCATCCTTTAACGTAAACTTTTCTTGTAAAAGCTACTCACCATCTCTTAAAGTAAAGTTAAAATTTTCACTTTTTTTCTACTTTTACTGAAGTACATATTCAGACTTGTTCTGGACCCACGTTTCTGTCCAAGCTAGGCATCAGGGTCACTAATCCTCTTTATATAGACAATAACAGTTACATGAACTGTGTGTCTTATTGCAGATGCTTTTGATCGGGAGTACCGGTTGGCCTATGACCGCCTCACGCCCAGCCAGGTTAAACTGACACATAACTGTGACAGGCCCCCGGGGGCTGGGGTCATGGAGTGCAGGAGGACTTTTGGAGAGCCCAGTTTGTGAACTCTTACTTTTATTAGATTTTCACTGCTGCTGGGATGTTGGACTGCTCTTCAGACTCAGGACCAGCTCAACAGTCTTGGACATGGAGCTCCTTAAGCAAGCACAATAGGGAAAGAAAAATTCCACTTCAATGCAAAGCAACTGCCATGAGTTTCTTGTGCTGTTAGAGCTGAGAGGTATGAAGTCACAGACCTTGTGTTCATATTTTCAATACACATCTATTAAAATGTTTGTACAGTTATTATACGGTATGTTTTATGCTTTTCTTTCTGTTGAAACTGTGAATAATTATGTAAAAGTGAATCATGTTAAAACTTCTCAGTGGTCCTGGTGACCTAATTAGGACTGTTGTTGATGTGTGTGTGCATGTGGGTGTACGTGCGTGCATGTGGGTGTACGTGCATTTGCACATACGTGCACACATGTATGTGTGTGTGGGGGTGGATGGATATTTTTTAAAGAGGCACTTTGTCAGGATGAGCTTTTATTTCTCAGTTACATAACCAAGTGGCTGACAGGAAAAACTCTTTCTATTCACGATTGAAAAAAATGCTTTTAACAAAACCAAATGAGTTTCTGCTAATGTGCATCCTGCCTATCTCACATACTACCTGAATACACAAAATCAGTTGGTAACACTGCATTAAAAAAGATCCACTTCTTGTTTCCTGACCAAAAAGAAAGTAATCAGTTAATGTACATTACAGTGTTTGCTAATTCATCTTTTCTTAAGATACCAAAACAACCCAGTAGATAATATTATATCATTTATTTACAGTTTTTAAAAAGCCTTTTTTAATGAAAAAAGTGATTTATATAATGTCAGACCACCGAAACCAGATATCATTAAAACAGTATAATCCAAGCTAAGAGTTTTTTTTTTTTATTATTATTTCATTTTTACTGACACAACTGTGGATCCCTAAAGATGTACAAAGCCTTTGCTTTTGTTTATTTAGATTTTTGGCTTTCACTGTAAAGCGTGGTTTTAGATATTTGGAAGGGAAAAACTTTTAGGTAATAGCAGTTTCGTTTAAAAACATGAAATATAAACATCAAAGCTCTGACCTGCCTAAGAACACAAACACGTTAGCACTGAGTGTGATGTGTCCCTGTTTTATTGTTGTCTTTTGCTACAAACTGACAAAAATAATTGATAAAATTCCATATCTGCTTGTTACAATCAATCACTTCTGATGATGAAATGCTGGATTACGTAAAGCATCACATGAAAACAAGTGTCTGAAAACCACTGATGACCAAAATTTAATTGTGTGTCTTTGTGTCGTTTACACTAATTGTCAAGCTCAACAGTGTTTCCTATGTATTATTTATCATTTGTAACAGAGATGCTAATTTGTATGATTTTTACATGAAAAAAAGAAACAAATTTCTTCCCTGGTTGGATCTATAATTTGCCTTCATTTTTGAATAAACACATTTATCTTGTGGATTTCCAGTGTAATTTTTTACCAAAATGAACTTTTTGAGAAATAACTAATTGCAAGCATTTTCAGAAGTTACTAAATAATTGTTGTTAAAATACAATATACATTTGGCTTTGCAGGCCATAGTGTGTAAACATTCAAGATGACTAATTTATGTTTTATAGGCAGCATTTGGTAAAAAACAAAAATGTGTCAGATATTAGGATCTCCACGTTAACTAGCAAAGGAGAAAACCTAACATTGGAGTCTTCTAGAAAATTATAAATCTTATCTCTCTTACTAGAGTTTCTGTGTAAAGTTCAGTTTCATTCTCTGTGGCCCCTCTGCCATTGGGTGTACCGCAGGGATCTGTATTTGGACCACTACTGTTTTCATGATATCTCCTGCCATTGGTAGTGATCCAATGCATTTATGGAATTTAATTTAATCTATGTGTCAACGATAGCCAACTTGTCCTTTTAAAGAGTTAGTTCACTGTTTTCTGCTTGTTACTGGTATATGATCAGACACACTGGGTTTCACATGCAGGGTAAACATGAAAATAGTCTTCTATGCCTATTTCCTGTATTAGCTGCTGATAGAAAATAGACGGGGAAACATTTGGATTAAAAAGGCTGGTCAGCTTTATATCACAATGTAAATTAGCATCAACAAACTCACCCATCTTGGCTTGTGAGTCGCGACTGAGAAAGGTTGTGTTTGGTTTAGAGTCCAGGAGAGAGCAGAGCACATCTGGGCTTGTAGAAGCTAATTGTTAGCATTAGCAACTCCACCACATGGCTGAACTGCTTCAGGCTTGTGCTATTTGTGAAGATAAAATAGTCAATGTTGTGTTGCTGTTAGCCAATCAGAGGCGAGATGTTTGAATATTATGAAACAAGACTAAATCCTGCCATCTTCTATTCCCCTCTCCTCTGGCTAATGTCTACTTTCTGAAACAGGAGCACAAGAGTTTTTTTCTACAAAAATTGACTCACAAGGCATTCAACTGCACTAGAGACCACTGCAAATGTATTGAAAAATGAGAGAAATTGGTCTTTAAATAACTCTAACAAAATCCTTTCTCTACTGAGAGAAGTTAAGTCATAGTTTACTCTAAATAAAACATTTTCAATCACCATGTTATTTGATCCTAATTACGCCTCTGAAGCGTTACATCCCATCTGACCAGCCCAGTGGCCTAGTGGTAGAGTGTCTGCCCTGGGACTGTGAGATCGGGGTTTGATTCCCGGTCGTCTTATACCAAAGCCTTTGAAAAATATGACCCAACTTCTCCCTGCTAACACTCAGCTTTAAGGGGTTGGATGGGGGGTTAAACCACCAAATAGTTCTCGAGCGCAGCCATCGTTACATAGGGATAGGTCAAATGCGGAGATGAATTTCACCAGTGTGTGATGATGGCTATGGGACTTTAAGTCACAAATGTTGGGAATGAAAGAGATGCTTCACTCAGTTTTGATGGTCACTTTACAGGGTGGTGAAATCTTCATTTTATCACCACAGACATCTGTCCCAGGTAAAGCCTTTTTGTTCCAGGTGGGATTTGGAAACAGTCATTCACGTTTCTACAACCTAATTTTTGGATTGCTGCAACTCCCAGTTGATAGGAGTTGGTCAAGGCTCTCTTTCATGTCTGCAACTGGTACAAAATTCTGCTGCTCAGTTTTTACCTGCAAGAAAAACTGAACATATTACTCTGGCTTCCAGTTGTTTTTAAAATCTGCAATAAATCATCAAATTGTCTGGCACCTGTACATTTGTCCGTCTCCTTCAGTCTTATGTCACCAGCTAAATCACAACTGAAACTTAGATGAGACTGAGCATTCTCAGTTGTGGTCCTAAAGCTGTAGACTGATTTTCCCATTATTCCTAGTATTAGACAGTCTTCTTGAGTGCTGGTCTTTAAATCCAGGCTGAAAACACTTTTATTTGCTGGCTTTTGGTGGGTTTCTCACACTATTATTGTAAGTTTTTCCTTTCTTGCTTTAATTGGTCCGTTTATAGTGCTTTACAGCACTTTGGTCGGCATGTTGCTTTTAAACTGCCATATAAATAAACTTTGTTATAAATTATAAAGTAGAAATTGCTCAAATATTTTTGCTAAAAGGAGCAACTATACAGTATTAAACATAATAAATGTCATTTTTATATGCAACCTCTGCTTAAGAAATGCCAAAGTGTGTAGAAAAAATACTTCAGTATTAAGGTGAGCTCTGTCCCAGACTCGTGCGATCTGAAGAGGTGCAGGGTCAACCTTTCTGCTTCAAGTCCCAGTCTGCTGAGAAAGTTTGTGTTTCCACATTCAGATGGAAACGGGGCAAACAATGATTCGATCTTCCAGCATTACGCTGAGCACCAGGAAGATGAAGTACAGGAGGAACATGGTGAAACCCAAAACCTTATTCATCTTCCATTTACAGGCTGCGATGGAGATGATGACAAAGAGGAGCATGAGGAAGAGCAGCACAATGGCACAGAAGAGCCCGTTGCTGCTGACGGCAACTGGTGCCAAACCGTGGATGGAGGAGTACATGAGCCACGGGACTGGGAGACTGGCAGTAAAATAGCACAGTAGAAACAAATCAGTCAACCACATATATATATTTTTTTGACTTATCAGACTCTAGAGGCTCACCCCATAGTGATGTCAAAGATGTTGCTGCCCACAGAACTGGAAACCGCCATGTCTCCCAGTCCTTTACGAGCAACAATCACACTGGTTATAAGATCAGGAATGGAGGTCCCTGCTGCCAGGATTGTCAGGCCCATGATCTCCTCTGAGATCCCGATTGTCTCTCCTACCTTATGAAGACAAGCAAATTCAATGTGGATTTTAAAAAAAAATGTATTTTTTAAAATAAATGAAAAAGTACCTGAATTTGGGAATCCCAAACCACTTTGTCTTTTAAGCTAAATTAATGAATCAAATCTCTGCAGAAACTGACCTGATGAGCCCACCACACCATAAGATAGGAGAAGACGGCAATCCACATGATAGATCCCAAGAACGTGATCACAAAGAACTTTCTGGATTTCTACAGTGAAAAATAATTGAACTACAAGTAGGATGTGATTTTATGTACCATAGGTGACATGCATCCACCTCCTGAAAGTCTCTCACCTGGTTACGAACATCAGGAACCGTGAGCCACAGAGGGAAGACAATTGGCAGCAACAACAGGTATGTGGCTTGCCTGCGTCGTGTATCGGGCCATTGCAAAGATAAAGGTTCGTCCTCTTTTTCTTTATCTTCATCATCTTCATCTTCATCATCATCGTCTTCTTCTTCACTGAAATCATCACTGTCATCGTCACTGTCCTCGGCCTCACTGCCTGAATCCTCTGATCCATCTGAACCACTCTGTTCTGCTGGCACATCGTCCTGAAGAGGATGAGACAACATGATGGACAAAAACCAAGAACCCACATCAGATAAGAATAAAGAACAAATGAACCAACAGCAGCACGAATCAAACAGCTGCAGCTCAGTACTTTGACTCTTACATAGACAGGTATCAAAGACTGACTTCTGGGCTTTTTCAAAGCCACCTGGACATGGATGGAGAGTACCTTCTTTTCTTCTGTTTGATCCTTCTTCTCTGTGTCTGAGTCTGGGGAAGCCTCTGGCTCTTTTGGCTCGTCCTTTTTAGATTCGTTATCTGTAAAAACGACCCCAAACATTTCCTTCAACGGCGTTGTCTTAACCATTCATCAAGGTCTCTGTAGTAATTTCAAAAGGCAGAGTGCTCTTTATGTAGAAATACTGATTTACTCTTTAAAAAATATATGTCTCTGGTTTAAATTATGTTCCTGGTTATAATTTGACATTTTTCCCTTTATTCAACATCACAGCAATAAAATTGTGGCTTTTAACTAGGAGTGCCCGATGTTAGTATTAAAATGTAATAACAGAAATTTTCTTTTTTTTTAAGGGGTGGAACTCTGAAAAAAACATTTTTATAATGTTACTAATGATTATAATCAGTTACTCTGAAATGCTCATAGACTGAACGTGAAAATAGTCTCCTACACCTATCTCCTGCATTAGCTTCTGATAGAAAATAGACAGTGAAACTCCAGGATTTGAAAAGCCTGACAGATCTACAACACACCGTCACTTAACATCCATGGGCTCTCCTGTCTGACTCACGACGGGGAATCTGTTGTAATCAAGCCCCCACAATGTGGCTCAAAAATTGAGGCCAACCCGGTAGTACCAAAAATTGCAGTTCCACCCTCATCCGCTGGGGGCTGGTGTCAGAAGCGAGCAAATCCTCATTGACTCCCATGTTAAAGATACCAATTTCACAGCAGGAATAAACATGTTTACAGCCTGGTACCAAAACATGTTTTTGGTTAGAATTATCTAGTTTACACTCATGACAACTCTGAGGGGGTGAATTTATTTCTCACTCTTCTGTTTAAGTGTATTAAAAGCCTAAAATTCTGTATAATTAATGAGCATCAGACCCACGTGACCACAGAGCTAGCTCCGTGGAAAGGCCTCAGTAGAGCCTCGGTCTGGGTTGGAAACTGCTCCAGGATTTTTAGTCTCTGTGTTTGTGTATTCTTTTTTGGATATTTTTTGTGCAATTGTTGGACAAAATGACTTGCTGTGGCATTAGTTGCACTAAGAGAGCGTCCAAGGAGTCTCCACTTCATTTTTTTCGGTAAGTAAAATTATATTTATGTATTTTAGGTCACTGCCGAGCTGAGCTTAGATTTTAACATGTACTGTTTAACCATGAAATTTAAATGTAATAGGGTAAAACCCAGTGCATTTAACATAATGCTGCACTTTAGAAAGTGGGTTGAAATATAACATGTTGGTGGAGCTGGGTTCCGACTATCGGCTTGTGGAGCTCTCGGGAGACCTCTGTTTTGAGCCACATTGTAGCCACAGCTGCCCTGGGGTGCACTGACAGAGGCAAGTCTGCCGTACACAGGTGCCACCTGTCCCTCCGAACACCACCACCACTGTGTCTACTAGAGTGTAAAACCGCTGGTCTTCTGTAGAGGATCTTCAGGACCCTTCTCTTTGTTTTACAGATTGTGGATGGGTTGTGTCTGGATCTTAAAACCTATTTGAAATTATAAAGATTGAATATCACGTTCTTCCAGATTACCCAAATGTGACCAATCATTTGCTGCTGTGGTTTCCAGACTCTGAACTCTCTCCCCGAGCCTGAGATCAGTGGACTCAGTGTTCGTCTTTAAAAAAAATGCTGAAAACTCATCTGTTCAAGCTGGCTTTTGCATGACCTTCATCACCATCCTATTCTGCTCTTTTTACCAATTCAGCCTTTCCCGGGATCCACTGATTTCCCTCTTTCGTATTCATTTTCTCTTTCTCCCTTTCCTTTCTTTTTTAATCACAATTTATTTTTGTCATTTTTATGATATTTTTGTAAATTTGTTTTTAATCTTTTTATTTGTTTAAAAAAATGTGTTCTTGTGAAGTGCCTTGTGGTTTTCTTCTTGAGAGGCGCTATATAAGAGATTGTTTCCTTTATTTCTTACCTTCAGTTTTGTCTTGAGGTTTGGTCTCTGACTTCCGTCTAGCCACACTGGTCAGACTTTCAGCTTTATCTCTGAATTTCCCTGTGAAAAAGACACAAACAAGCAGCAAAGGACTGACTCATGAAACACAGAATAAAAAGAATCACACTTGGAAAATATATGTTTTCTTCTAAAATTAAAGGTGTAGCGGAGGATCTTTTTCTTCCGGGTGGATCATCTGAACCATTGGTCCGCATAACTGTCAGTCATTCTGGTGAAGCTTTCATGCAAGGCCGTCGTCATACATGCTCGTTCCTGGGTTAGTTTTCGCTTCCTGTGCATGAGCATTCTGTCTATGTGTAGAGCGACACGCCTTCATTCCTCACCGTTCTCACCGGGTTCTTTCGAAAATGGCTGAGAGTCACAAAAGAAAAAGTGTCTTTGAAGCCTATGATAAGAAGAGAAAGGCCTCCGAAGTGAAGGAGACTCTTTTCATCAGTGGCATGTGCAGAAAGCAAAGGTTGGGCTCCCCACAGACGCCTCTGTTCCCAGTTTTTTGCTCGACAGGTAAGCTAAAGTTTGACATGCTGTTTAAAGAAATTACTGCTAGAAGTGCTGCAGCTGCTTGTGAACAAAGCATACATTTTCTCAAAACGTGGCGAGGGCGGTTCTTTCCTGAAATTCAGAAACATCCTCCTGTGATATCTTCATGTCACAAACATGTTTGGTTTGCGTTGGCTGCATGCAACAATGTGTTTATAGAGCAAGATCTGACTACAGAAGTGATCCAGAAAATAAAATCGTCATTGTCATGGATCATTTGTTCACGACAAACAGCAGACAAACTCAGATAAATTCAGATTGTTTCTGTTCGATTACCTGTAACTTTTAGAAAAAAATGTTGTTTGAGCAATCATTACGTATTTTAGCTTTATTATTTTTTGTGGCCTGACTAATATAACAAAGAATTTCCTCTACAATAAAGTTACATATAAACAGTGTCATAAAAACAACCTTTAAAGTCTCACAGAAGAATATTTCTGTCAACTGCAGCCATCATTTTGCAGACTTGTTCCTAATGTTCCACCCAGGATGAACAAACAAACTCATCTGCAGACTGAGGGAGGTATTTATCTGCTTAGTATCAATCTGGACTTAGTGATGCCTTCATACAGGACAGCTAGCTAATCCGTTCTACACTGAGAGGATGTGATACACAGAAAGTCTAAAAATGGTCCTATCATTAATCAGCAGAGTCATCATTGCAGCAGTTTGGTACTCACCCTCTCCTAGTGGGTCTAATGTATGAATCATAAGTTGGAAGATGGTGTTTCTCATGGTGCTGTTGTGTAAAGAAGCTGAACTCCCCCCTCGCTGAAGGGATGGTTTTAACTAGGGAGAAAAATGGCTGAGGTCATGACTTATTAAGTAGAAATCACTTTTAGTAGTTTCTAAATGGAGGTTGGAGGATTTTGCTAGGCCAGCTTTAGACAAAACATTATAAATATGTGGATCAAAAGCATCAGTGATTATAAAATATTATAATCTGGTCCTCACTGGTTGATTACCTTCAACCGATTCTTGTCCTCTGGAGCAGGAAGGGCATTATCTTGACTGTTCCCATTTGTCTGTGTAAAACAATGTCTTTATCAGTGATTCACTGGATTACACACCTAAGTTAAATTATAATGTGATGGACTGCATGAGGACAAATTTTAGCAACAAAAAATCACATTGGCATTTTAGAAGTCAAGCTTCAACAGAATATCCGGTTCAATGGTTTTTAAACTTTTCTTTTTCAAATTTATGTCAAAAAGACTGAAGGTGTGCAGGTAAAATCAACAAATAATGATGCTTCAGGTTAACAGAGCTGTAGTGCCTCAAAGGATTATTTTAAAGGGGCTGATCAGCTTTGGTTTGTACAGGCCTGTGGTAGCATTCAACACCAGTTCATTAAATAATTTCTGCCTCACTAACGTAAGCAGTAGCAGTGGTGCCCCAAAAGGGTTGAAAATGGGGGGTCATAGCTAACGCTAAAATATTCTTGGTCACCCCACCGGCCCCCGCAGTGAAGATCACCCCCATATCCTTTTAATAAATCACATTCATGTTCCCACAAAGCATACATTCATCTTCTTAAAGACATAAAAAGTAGTTAAATAAATATGACAAACATAAATCACTGAGGCTCAATGTTAAAAAGTATAAATCCAATAGTTTTTATAGTCCAAAACTCAGCGTTCCAGAGTTAGATGTTGAGGCACAAATGAAAGCAACTGCCAAATTAATTTAGTTTAAATTTGAAACAATAACTGAACTAACTTAGAAAATAAGACTTTTTTCTAAAATGTTTGTCTTCCTCAAATTTGAGGTAAATGTGTTGGACGCATAGGCGTTTTACGTTTTGGTGAAAAAGAATGATGGAACTATGCGACACACAGCTACAGGCTAAGAGTTACCATAGGGACCAGCCTGGGTTGCCACCCCAAAATTTTCTGAAGGGGGGGGGGGGGGGGGGTCTACTGCACAATAGTAATTAACAATAGATGCAAGGTTACAGGTCAAAGCAAAGGTAGCTCTCTGGTATTAAACCATACACAGATTCCTTCTGTCGATGTTCCCCTTTACTGCTCCCTACCAGTGATGAACCATAAAAATACCAACATACTCCATCTCAAAGCATCATCCAGCTTAGCAAAAGCCTGCATATGTATAAAATACCTAAAAATAACTTAAAAGTATATAATAGAGACTCAACACTGGACCATCTGAATATAAACAAGTCGAGTCCCAGGAGTGCTTACCTTCTGGGGTTCCTCCACAGCAATAACCTTCACGATGCTCTTGTGTTTGTGGAGTTGGGCTTTGAATGTTTGCTCCAGCTGCACATTATATTTCATAAAGATGACATAAAGAGAGTAACATCCCACCAGCATCATGCTCTCCCACCACACAATGACATTGTCCAGGAAGAAGATGATCAGCAAGATGAGGTCAAGTATGTAGAAAGACACATCTCTAAAAAGTGGCCACCAGGTTAGATGGAGAACCTCTCGAGAAAACAAAGCACACATTCCAATGACAAACAAAATGTTAAAAACTGCCGAACCGACAATGGTTCCAATGCCTACGTTGCTATGGGCGATGAAGACTCCAATCAATGAGGTAAAAAGCTCAGGTGCAGAACCTCCAGCTGCCATGAAGGTGGCTCCAGCTACGTCATCAGAAATGGCTAATTTGTCTGTGATCACACCCAGTGCAGGCACAAAGAACTCATCACAGACAATGGCAAGAGACACAAACATATATGTCATCCCCAAAATGTGGAGAATCACCCATCCTCGTCTGCGATCTTCAATGGAGAAGATATCTTTGGGGTATTCACCTTTAACCGGTGGAGCTTGGCCAGGCGAAGCTGGAGTGACAGTTATAACTGGAGGAGCAGGAGCTGGGGTGGGTGTCTCTCCAGGAGGTTCAGGGGTCACATAGATGCAACGGAAAATAGTCCGATTTGTGGTTGGCGGCAGTGGTGATTCAGTGGTGGTGGATGCTGTAGTTGTATGTAAATTCTTATCTGCACTTCGAATCACACCCGTTGCTGTTGTTGTCTGATCTGTGGGCTCTAACTCAGGTGTTGCAGTGAATTGTTCCTCAAGTACCCCAGGTTCTGCTGTGGTTTCCTCAACACCCTCTGTTGAACCTTCTCTTGTATCCTCTCCGATCTGTGGCAATGGGAAAGGCTCGTACAATCGGGCACTCGTGGTAAGCTGGTAGACGGTGCAAAGGAAAACTCCAGAGAGAAGAAACAAGACTCGGCTGAGCCTCAGCCGCTTCCGTCTGGAGCAATGCATTTTCTAAAGAAGCTAGGTTGAAGTAAGCAGCATAAATGTGTTTTAGTAGAGTCCACCTGCCCCCCTCCAACAAACCAAGGAGTGATAAGAGTATCAACTTCTGTGGGATGATTCATGTCACATCATCGACTTCTTGAACAGCCCTGCCGATTGTAAATAAAAGAAAACGGTATAAAATAAAATGAACATTCAATTTAGTTCAGATTATTTATAAAAGCAGAAATGATTTAAGCTATTTCATGACTGAAAGTTGCAAAACATCTATGTTACACATGACAATGACTTTGCATTTTGGTTAAGGGCCAAACTTATTTTTTAATCAAATCCAGTGACAATGTAAACTACAGAATATTTTGCTGATACAGACTTACCAATGAGTCGGTGATCCAAAACTCAGCGTTCCAGAGTTAGATGTTGAGGCACAAATGAAAACACTTTCCAATGGACAAAGGCTTATGTAGGACATAGAACAAGTCTCCACAATGGATCAGTATAATACCCAACACCTGAGATCTTCTAAGAGGATTAGTTGCATTGTCCCAATCTCGCCTCATGTACATACCTTTGATGATTTTAATGCTTTGAATTAATTATGTTTCTTGCTGGATTTTGTGCTTGCATCTTTTATACAGAAGTATATCACATCATGCAATCATTTAGACACGGTAAAAAAAAATTGAAAAGAAAAAGATGACAGTCCAAAATAAACTAATTCATTCAGTCATGTTTATGTTGTTTATGTTTATGTATTTAGCAGACGCTTTTGTCCAAAGCGACTTACAAGTGATGATCGGCATGTTGCCCTTGAGGCTAACAACAACAATAACAACAACAACAACAACAACAAATAATTTCCAGTCAGTCGTAGGTGGCAGTGAGGCAGCATGATGAATCATGGAGAGGAGGGAACAAGGAGTGGACAGTAGAGATGGGGACAGGTGCAAGGAGGGTGCTAGTTTGGAAGATGCTCTCTGAAGAGCAGGGTCTTCAGGAGTTTCTTGAAAATTGAAAAGGAAGCCCCTGTTCTGGTAGTGCTTGGAAGGTCATTCCACATTTGTGGAACGATGCATGAGAAGAGTCTGGATTGTCCTGAGTGTGGTGTAGGCACTGCTAGCCGACGATCCTGTGATGACCGGAGCGGCCGGGCCGAGACGTACGCTGTTGCAAGAGGATTCAGGTAGATGGGAGCCGTACCATCTCGGACTTTGTATGCTAGTGTTAGCAATTTGAATTTGATGCATGCAGCTAGCGGTAGCCAGTGGAGTTCAATGAACAGAGGGGTGACGTGTGCTTTTTTTGGCTGATTGAAGACCAGACGCGCCGCTGCGTTCTGGACCATTTGAAGAGGTCTCACAGTACAGGCTGGAAGACTAGTTAGAAGGATATTGCAGTAATCGAGGAGGGAGATGACAGTAGATTGCACCAGGAGCTGGGTGGCATGTTGTATTAGGTATGGTCTGATCTTTCATATGTTATACAGCGCACAGTGGCATGAACGAGCAACAGAGGCAACATGATCTTTAAAGGTCAGGTGTTCATCAATCACAACACCCAGATTTCAAATTGCCTTTGAAGGAGCCAGAGATAGGAAGTCACTTTGGATTGAGATATTGTGCTGTATGGATGGTTTTGCTGGGATGATAAGTAGTTCAGTTTTAGAGAGGTTGAGTTGGAGATGGTGGGATTTTATCCATTTTGATATGTCAGAGAGACAGTTTGATATTCGTGCAGAGACAGTGTGGTCGTCCGGTGGAAATGACAGATAGAGCTGGGTGTCGTCTGCATAGCAGTGGTAGGAGAAGCCTTGTGATCGAATGATCTCATCCAAGGAGGTGGTGTATATGGCAAAGAGAAGAGGTTAGGACCTGTACTAGGGTACAGAGCCCTGTGAGACTCCTGTGGGAAGATGGTGCATGGTAGAAGGTTGTCCAAGCCAAGATACACTGAATGATCTTCCTGTGAGGTACAATTCAAACCATGCTTGTGCTTTCTCTGTGATGCCCATGCTAGGGACTGTGGACAAAAGGAAGCCATGGTTGACAGTGTCAAATGCTGCCGATAAGTCGAGCAGGATAAGCACTGAGGATTTGGCAGTCGCTCTAGCTTCTTTTAAGGATTCCGTCACTGCTAACAGAGCAGTTTCAGAGGAGTGGCCCTTTTTGAACCCAGATTGGTAAGGGTCAAGCAGACAGTTTTGTGAGAGAGAGAGTTATTCTGTGATCTGCTTGAAAACCACCCTTTCAATGATTCTGGACAGAAAAGGGAGGAGAGAGATAGGTCAGTAGTTCTCCACATGATTTGGAGGAAGAGATGTATTTTTTTAGCAGCGGTTTAACCTGAGCATGCTTGAGAGAGGTGGGAAATGTACCGGATGTCAGTGAAGCATTGATCACATGTGTGACTGCTGCGGCTACTGTAGGAGCAATTGGAGCAGCTTAGTCGGAATAGGGTCTAGTGGGCATCTAGTAGGGCGGCTGCACGTGAGAAGCTTGGACACACAGTTCTCAGTGAGAGGGGAAAAAGAGGAAAATGAAGCAGTAGGGCCTGAGATGGTTGGGCTAGAAGGAGTTTGTGGTAGCGAATGTTCAGGAGTGGCCAGTTGAGTAAACTGTTTGCTTATAGCTTCCACTTTGTCAGCGAAGAATGAGGCAAAGGTGTCAGCTGATAGATTGTTGGTAGGAGGCGGAGACGGAGGGTTGAGCAAAGTTTTGAATGTCAAAAATAGTTTCTGAGAGTCAGTAGAGCTGAGAATTTTGTCAGTGTGGAAGCTTTCTTTGAATCAGTGATGCTGGCAGAGAATGAGGACAGTAATTCATGAAATTTCAATTGACCAACAGGATCTTTTGTTTTGCGCCATTTCCGTTCCGCAGCTCTAAGATTCGTGTGTAGAGACAGGAGGGTATCATTTAGCCAAGGGTGCGACTGAGAGGATCTAGCAGGTCTAGTGGCTAAAGGGCACAAGTTGTTAAGACAAGAGCAGAGTGTGGAGCAGAGTGACTCGTTGGCATCATTCACTTCATAAGCAGAGAATGTGCTGGGAGATGGAAGAGTGGAGGCAACAAGAGAGGAGAAGTGGTTGGGTGCCAGATTCCGGAGATTGCGGCAGAATGAGACCATTTGGTGAGGAAGCAGTGGACCTCTCTTGTAGAGTCGAGCTGAAATGGATGAAGTAATGATCCGAAAGATGCAGCGGTGTGACAAAGATTGTGTCTACGGCACAGTTTCTGGTGAAAATGAGGTCAAGTGCTTTTCCAGCTTTGTGAGTTGGAGGGCTTTGTACTAGTTTTAGATCAAATGATGACATTAGTGATAGGAAGCCTGATGAGCTGGGATTGTCCAGGTGAATATTCATGTCTCCAAGGACCATTGTGGGACAGTCGTGCTCAGGAATGGAGGAGAGCAGGGTGTCGAGTTCATCAAGAAAGTCTCTGAGTTGACCTAGGTGGCGATATATGACAACCAAAAAGATTATTTTCGGTACAGTTACCTGGATGGCATGGTATTCAAAGGAGTTGTATTTAGTGGTGGGTAGCAACTGACTGTATATCCATTTTTTGGAAATTAACATGCCCGTCCCACCACCTCGGCCAGATGCACGTGAAGTGTGGGAGAAAGTGTGGCTAATTGAGAGAGCAGATGGGCTAGCAGTGTCACATGGTTTAATCCAGGTCTCAGTCAGAGCTAGTGCATTGAGTGACAGGTGATTTGCATATGGGGTAATGAAGTCTGCTTTGTTTACAGCTGTTTGGCAGTTCCAAAGTCCCATAGACAGGTGCGTGTCTTCGGGGGTCTTGAAGTGTGATTTTCTTTATTTTAATTTTCATTTCTGTGTGATTTATGTGGAGGGGGTGGACTGTGTACTAAGGGGGCATTCCGGAGAGCATTAGATTTAGCAAAAATGACACCTTAGTTTAGGAGAGAAAATCCAGTTTGTAGTTAATTAGGAAGATGCAAACGCCCCGGATTGCTGTGTTGAATAAATTCTATCATTTTTAATTAACCACCTCCCCCAAAAAAATAAAGAAATAAAATGTATTTAATTCAAAATCTATCACTTTTTATGATGCCATTTAATGACCATATAAGTTATCATAGACCATTTGCTGCTGCGGCCCCCAGATTCTGGAACTCTTGCCCCCTGAGCCTGGGGACTCAGTGGTCTCCTTTAAAAGCAACTGAAAACTTGCATGTTCAAGCTGGCTTTTGCCAAAGTTAAACCATACCTTCTCTTCATTCAGCTCTCTCTACCAATTCTGCCTTTCTACTGGTTACCTTTTTCTTATTAATTTTCCTTTTCCTCGTCCTTACACATTTTTTTACCCTGTTTTTGCATTTTCCGTTTCTTATATTTTTATTTTTTGTTTTTGTAATATTTATACTGAGCGGCGCTTTTTAAACGTTTATTCTTCTTCTTTTTCTTTGTACAATGTTTTTCTACTTTTGTGAATTTCTATTCCGGATGCTTCACCTCAATAGGAACTTTCTATTTTGCTTAGATGTAGCTACTCGGACAAAATATGTTGGAGCACTTTAAATGAACAATGTCGTTTACATATTTTTTTTCTCTTTGCCATAAATCAGTTGGCAGCTCCACTTTCAGGTTTGACGAACAACAATTTGGAACATTTTAGTATTTTTTTTCCGTTTGGTCTTCTTATGTCGTACATTCCAGAATGCTAACTAGCAAGCTAACATTAGCCCGTGGTAACATGTCTGTCGTACGGATGCTGTATTTTAGTTGAACATCAGTAGCGTTAATGACACACTGAGAGTGGGGTCATTTTCGGGGAGGACTTTATATTTCTCGTATCATTGTTCGAGTACACCGTCAGAAGTGACCCGCCATGCCTACAGTGGTTCTAATGGACGTGTCCCTGTCTATGACACGGCCAGTGTCCCAGGATGGCGGCGAGGAGCTTCAGAGGAAGAACCTGGCCGTACACGGCCTCAACATGTTGTTTGAACACATGGCTTCCAACTATCGCCTTGAGTTCACAGCACTGATGGCCTTCTCCTCCCTCTGGGAGCTGTTGGTCCCTTTCACCCGAGATTACAATGCTTTGCAGGTAAAATGAGAATTGTCTTACAGTTTTGAAAACTGTATAATTTAACTCAGGATAGTAAATATATGAATAATTGGTGAAAATGGGCAAAGTAGAGGTTGGTGATTAATCATTTTCCACAGCTAATTCTTGTGTTGACAAGTTTTTGTTTTGTTTTCGCAAGTTCATCTGAAAGGAGACTGTCCATGTTAACTAAATGCGTAGTGGACCTCCTATTTGGTATAAATACAGATCTTTAGCCCAGCGTAACAGAGCCACATTCAGCCTAACAAGGTTGTAAGTGAAGCTGAAAATGCCAAAAAAGAGTAAAGTATGTCAAATAAAGTAGGTGGTGTTTTGAAAACGGTTTAAAGCCATATCCCCAAAACAAAAGTTCTCCACCCAAAGAGTCAGCTATAGTAAATAGGCAGATCTTAACATTTGGTTAAAATTGAGCAAAATTTTGGAAATCAGACCCTGGACAAGTATTTTTGGAATGTGTCAAATCATATCATGTGTCGTATGTCTGTGAAATGTAAAAACATGATGTTTTTGTTGTTTGTTTACAGGAGGCAATTAGCAGCCTGGAAGACTACGATAAGACGTGTATTGAATCAGCTCTTAATGGAGTTAATAATGTAGTCCAACAGGAATGGGGCAATGGTTGTCCCTGCCAGGTAACCCAGAAATGTTCTGTTTGCACTTCAAAATCATCTAGTGGACCGGCACTACTCAAATATATCATTATTTACCTTAAGCATCACTTTATTCTTCCACTTTTATATTTTAGAGGGATTTTTATACTTTTAACTAATCAATTATCAGCACAATACTTTGTAAAAGTGTTTTTTCTATGTTTTTGTCTGGTTTTCTTTTAAAAGTGCATTAAAATTACTCACTTTTTTTAAAGTTTAAAACCAATAGGCCACTTACACATTGATGCAAAAGAATGTTTATCAGTCAGACACTAAACTAGCTTTAATATACTGTAACTAAATCACATTATGTGGCCATTTTCATGCAGTAAAAGATCCAAATCCTTCTGTTTATGTACTTCCTCTGTTTGTCCTGTAGGTGGTGCTAGTTACTGATGGATCTCTTGGTATTGGGAAGGGCTCCCTTCGACACTCTCTTCAAACCCTGAAGCAGCGAGAAGAAGACAAAAAGTTCCCGCTACCTTTTCCTTTTCCAACCAAAATGTTCATCCTATGTGTAGCTAATGCAGAAGAGGTACTGAGCTAGTCTTTGCTTTGTTAGTTAGCCACTAGTGATGTGCACCCATAAGTTAATTGTGTGAATCCAGTGTTTGATCAGATGCCACGCAGCTTCAAGCATCACAAATTCTGTGATGACTATTAAACCATAACAAGAATGTTTTATCTTGGAAATGGTCACATAAATGTGTGAATGATGGGGTTTAAAAGTGTTTTTTACATGTTTGCATCAACATTTCTGCTAAGATTTTACTCATTGTGGTAGATTTGGTTACATTAAAGGTGGTTTGTGTTTTGTGCAAAATGCAGTTACAAGCCACTGATGCCATGGAAAACCTGGAGGAGCTACTTCGGCTCAGCGGAGGGGACGGACAGATCTTCACTGTGGATGGACCACTCTGCATGAAGAGTGTACAAGCCATGTTTGGGTAAGATACAGTGAATTATACAGTAGCTTCTATCTTTTTTAATATTTCCTGCTTTTATATTTTCCAGGTTGCTGATTGATCACGCATACTCTCCCTTCCATGCGGTGCTGTACTGTGGGAATCTGTCATCAGACGTTCAGGTTTTCCCTCGTCCTGAGCCTGTCCTGGTGGACGAAGAGGTGGAGCCCATACCCCGAACAGTCAGGGCAGGTGCTGATCAGCTTTCACAGTCAATTATAAGAGATTCACTTGAACAGTTAAAAATAATCATAATTCTGTTGCACCTTTTCAGATCTGGAAATTGTGGGCTTCATTGAAATTGCAGACATTTCCAGCCCTCCTGTAATATCCAGACACTTGGTTCTTCCTATTGCTGTAAACAAAGGTTTGTTTTATTGTTTTAAAGGCATCGTTCTGTTCAAATACAATCAACAAAGTCACTGTGCAGCATGGCTGAGGCTTATGTGTTTTACTGGAAAGTACAGTTAAAACTGCAAAATTCTTGTTTTTTTTTCTCACGAAGAGGTGGGTTGCTGCTAAAAGAACAAATCATTTCTAGTAAATAAGAATTTTTTTTGTAACAAGTTATATTAAACTGTCTGAAAAAAGGAAGAGGAACCGACATGCCTGCATTTTAACAGTTCACAAAACATATTGAGACCTTTTTTTTTGTCACAGCTGAATAACGATGACTTCTTGTATTTCTTACTTCATTTCAGATGTGGATGAAATGGGGACAGGAGCCACAGATGAGCTTGAGGAGGAGCCTTCTGCCAGCCAAGTAGCAGGAAAAAGTCCCAACTTTTGTGTTCTACTACACGGAAGTTTGAAGGTTGAGGGAATGGTGGCGCTGGTCCAGCTTGGGTGAGATAAATAAAAACATCTTTAGTCTAATGCCACCATATCAGAGTAACAGAAGATTACATTTAGTTCTGCCTTCCAGGCCTGAGTGGTTCGGGATGCTGTACTCTCAAGCAGACAGCAAGAAGAAATCAAACCTGATGATGTCGCTGTTTGAGCCCGGGCCAGACCCGCTTCCTTGGCTGGGCAAAATCACTCATTTAGGTCCAGTTTCAGGTAATGTTTCCCCTCTTTCATAAACCAACTCGCTCACTGGCATAGGGAGCATTGGTGCAACCGGTGCGGTGAACTGGGGCTCAGCAGGCCCAGAAAGGGGCCCGGAAGAGAGCACAAGCGAGAGAGCGTTGGCCAGCCGCTCAACAGCGAAGATGAGGACGCACTTAAACTCAGACACCCGATGCATTAATTTTCATCCATGGTGTGTTCTGTGTGTTTGCTAATGAAACAACCCAAGTGCATTCGGGCTTGTTAGTGATCATGTTGGGAGAACCGGTTGAATTTTTAGTGCGCGCTGCTCCAGAGCAGCGTGGGCACGGAGGCGGGTACCAGCTGTGAGAAACAGCAACTCTCAGGTACTGATGATGATGATCAGAATCGTCTTCTTGTTAGGGACAGAGAGAAATAAAAACTTGGTGCTGCTGTGTCGGAAGATCTGGCTAAAGTTTATTATTTACTTTCATGGGACAATGTGGTGTTAAATTATGTTAAATTGAACTTTAACCATCTGAGACCCGATTTTGTATTTGATGTAAAAAGAAAAAAACAATTCCAGCTATTACAAACTAGTCGACTCATAAATGTGAACAAAATATTACTTAGATAAAAACAAATGTAAATAAAGATGTTGACATAGTTAAGTTAAAGCAACATTTGCACCGGGGTCCAGCTCAAACTTGCTTCGCCACTGAACTCGCGGCTAGTTTTCTTCATTCCTGCGTAGGGTTGAGTAGGGTTGGGTGATTAATCGAAAATGTATCCTTGTCGAAGTTTCTGACTCGTACCAATATTTTTCCCATTTGAATCAATGTGATTGAAAAAATGTAAAAGATGTGTGTAGGTTGGCGACATTCATGTCCCTTTAAGAAGCTGTACCTCCTGGACAACGTGGCTCGTAATACATGCGACAGCCCAATTTTGCTTTTGTGCACACATGTAGTCCATTTATCGTTATCGAGGTGAAATCCTTAATATACCATCATATTGATTGTAGGCCGTATCATCCAGCCATATTCCTGAGTGTGACATCCCCAGGATGGTGTGGAAGTTCTTATTTAGCATTTGGCTAACTCCTGCGTGGAGGATTGATTGTACAGGATGACACACCTGCTTCGTTTCTAGTGAGATGCATTACTTGACTCTAATGTTCTGTCTTTCTGGTATTTTAGAAGCTGCTGAAAATCCCTACGGAGAGGATGACAGTAAAAGTCCTTTTCCTGTGCAGCCGCCAGCCAAGCGGAGCTATGCTCAGAATGTCACGGTTTGGATTAAAGCCAGTGGATTACAGGTGCGTCAAAATGCTGCATGCATGTAACAAAGAAAAAAATGTACGAATCATACAAATGAATCACCTTAAAAACAAAGTACAATCTTTTTGTATAAGAAGTCACCAATAACATTTCTCGTTAGCGGTCCACTGCTCAGTATATTACGTTAAAATGTATTCATCGTGTTGAAACAAAACAAATGCAGATTTATTTTATGAATAGTCCAAATGTATCAGTTAATTTGAAATTAAGTTCAATCATTAATGCAACATGGTACAATATACTCTAACAGCTGCACTTTGTTGATGTAAACAGTGAGAGCTGCTAACATCTCTATCGTGACTTAAACCTGTGTGGATGTGATGGTGTACATGCCAGACTCTTCCTCTGCTTATCCACACAGAGGAGGAGTCTGGATGTTCAGAGGCAGAGAGCACCATGAGGGGCGGGACTAGCCAGCTCAAAAATAACCAATCAGAAAAAAGGAGGAAATGACGACTATCACGCAACGCTGTAGTTTTTTAGCTGTAGTCAAAGATGGCGTCTGATGACGCCACAAACATTTCTTTAGAAGGTTTTTAGCACATTTTCTTGTTGTGGTTTTAAAGACATGTCAGTCATGTAGAACGGAGGAGAGCCGCAGAGAGTTCCGTTTCAAACGCCATCTTCATTGTTTAGGAGTAACTGAGCATCGGTGTGTGTGGCGTACGCTGCTCAGCTCTGATTGGCTCAATTAGAATTCTCAGGGGGTGGGGTTATTTGAATGGGAACTTTACCAGGCCCTCTGCTTTTCATAAGGAAGCATTGGCATGGCTGGCCAGGCTAGTACATGAGTGACTTGTTGTAAAGCACCTTGGGGGGTTCTAGGACTATATAAGTACAGGCCGTTCACCAAACCCTTAAAAATGGGCTCAGTTTTAAGAATTTCTTTTCTGCATTGATGACCAGTTGAAACTTTTGAGTCATTTCCTGTCAGCACCGATTCATTTATGATGTCATCACATAGACTGATGTCCAGAAGATCCTGAGGAATGCCAGAAAATTACCAGATAAAATGCAGACGTTTTATAAAGTAAGTTTATGCAAAAGCTTTGAACAGAAAAAAGCAAGTTTTTGACTGTATTTAAAGAAAATCTTCTCGTCAGGAGCTGAACCGTCTGCGGAAAGCTGCCTTGGCGTTTGGTTTCTGGGAGCTCTTAAAGGGCGTGGCCGAGCTGCTGGAGAGAGAGTGCACCCTGCTGCCCGACTCGGCCCATCCAGACGCTGCGTTCCAACTCTCCCACGCTGCTCGTCAGCTGAAACTGGCCAGCTCCACCGACTCCCAGTATGCTGCTTTTGAGCACAACATCGTCCCCATGCGCACAGACTTTTCAAGCTGAGGCAAAAAAGGACCAATCTGGTACATTAAACTGTTGTATCTGTATGTATTAGTTTACTGCGAGCTTTTTTACATTTCTCTATAATTCCTTTTTGTTCACCAGATTCATACATTACCAAAAATGTCAGAAGTTTAAGGTTCTTTAATAAACCAGCAAAGGAGTAAATGGTGATTATGTTTCATCAGTTGTTTTTGTTTATAAAGCTTGTAAACAGATTAAAACCCTGCATTTGTTAACAAATGTTTTCTTTCTTTGCTCTTAAACAGTCAACAGCAACAATTTGTTTTAATCAGCTGGGGCAACAAGAAATGCTGCTTTTGACCGGAGCAGACATTTGGGTGTTCTTCAAAAAGGGTTCAAAAGTAAACAAGCAGCAAATTTTTAATTTGCTTTCCTCTTCTTGGTGCGGAAACGCTTCTTCCTCTGCTTGTAAAGGTGGCGAAAGTTGATAAAAAGCCCTAAAGGATGGAAAAAGATTTAACTGGTTACCAGAACGCAAAATAGAGATTTGACAAAAGGAGACTGATGGCTGAGATAAGCGTTTCTACTTCCTCACCCAAAAACATAAAAATCAGATAGACGTGAAGGACGTAGGAGAAGCTGACTGAAGTACCGATTACTTTCGGCAGAGGAATGCGGAACAGTCTGGTTTCATCGAATATGGGAATGGACTGAATCACTGCAACAGCTACAAGGAACAGACAGATACATTTTAATAAAGGAAAAAGCAGTTCAAGCAAGCTACATTAAAATAACAATTCAAAGGTCCTAGACCCACCCACTTAGTCAAAGAATTTCATGGTTACAGAAAATGTCAACACCGGATACAACAGATACTGTCAAACAACCATAGACATAACCTTTGCTTATGTTTTGGCCTGTAGCTGGCACCTCTTCTGCCATAATTCCTAATGTAACATGCCTCTGTACCTTTAACAATTCAGTATGCTAGCTAATATAGTGTGGTGTTTTTATTGTGAAAAACAAGGCAGGTTTTATCTTTCTTTGATTATACTTAACGTCACAATTACAGCAACTCAGTGCCGCCAAGAATCTGGGGAAACTCCAAAAACCAAGTCAAAACTAGCAGAACCCAGCCTGAACCGAACGTTGTTGGACGAGCTCTCGCTTCTCTGGCAGCTTGTAACACGCACACACACACTCGTACATTATGCAAGAAACAAACCGACCGCTCTGCCAACCAACAGAAGACTTGCTGTGTTCACAGTCAACAGGTCCATCACCTAAACGTTTCCCGACAACAACAGAACTAGACTAAACAGAACGGGACACTGCCCATTACACTAGCTAGCCCAGGTCTGGCTTCCATTTCTGTATGTATTACGATCCAATCATTGAGAACGGGACATTCACAATCACTGGACAAGGTATTTCCAGGACTGAACGTTTCAGAGGCGATTAAAATGATTGAAATTCTTGACAAAATATTTAACTTGTTGGTTAATAATAATAACAATAATGCATTGAACTTATATAGCGCTTTTCTAGACACCCAAAGACGCTTTCACACACACTCACATTCACACACTGCTAGTGATGGTAAGCTACTTGTAGCCACAGCCGCCCTGGGGAGGTCTGACAGAGGCGAGGCTGCCATTTGGCGCCGTCGGCCCCTCTGACCACCACTAACACAGGCACGTTGGGTGAAGTGTCTTGCCCAAGGACACAACAGCAGGATACCCCTGGCGGGAGCTACAATCGAACCCATGACCCTCCGATCATGAGGCAAGTCAACCCGCTCTACCACCTGAGCTACTGCTGCCATCAGTATGTGAAGCACACGTCTCCTACTGCACCTTTAAATGACAGTAACAAATACCGGATAACTCGGTAAGCAGCAAACCGATTCACCTTCAGCTAAAACACCTAACGGATACAGTGGGATCCAGACTGTGTACCGCAGCCAAGTGAGGGTTTTCCACTCTGTGTTGCAACAGCCCAGCATGTAAAACGGATACCTGGAATTAGAGCAGCATGTTGATTTTAGACAGACTGGAAACAAGTGTGATGCTCATCAGCTGACACATTTGCATCTGTAACAATACCTCTTTGTTATAGTGAAGTAAATGACCTGCTGATGCTGCTTGCAAATGTTGACTTAGAACTTGAAATTGAGACATAACTACTAGTTTCATGTGGGTTTAATGACCTTTTATAACATTTATTCATTGAATAATAGACTTTATAATTTCTATGTCAGAAAATAAAATTTTAAGTACATCTGATGGATGTAAAAGCATATTTTGATAACATTACTGATATACTTACCTAAAAATCTCAATGGTACTCCACAGATAGAAAACAAAGAACACAACTGGGCGGTGGTGCATTTCTTCCAGACTCCCCAAAATAATGAAGAGGATAAAATTCCTTCCAATCACCTACAAGGAGAGGAAAATGCAGACCCTAAAATCAGATCCAATTATAATAATACATCAAACTTCTATAGCATTTTTTAGGAAACCCAAAGATGCTTTCATGCACTCTCACATTCACACACTGCCGGGGATGGTAAGCTACTATGTAGCCACAGCCACCCTGAGGCGGTCTGACAGAGGTGAGGCTGCCACTTGGTGCCGTCAGCCCCTCTGACCACCACCAACAGTAGTTTTCTGACAGAAATCATGACATAAAGGAGCACCTGTATGAACGTGGGAATAAGAGCAGTTCTAACAACACCAAAGGCAGCGTTGAGGACCTCCACCGATGCCAGGATCTGGCAGAAGAACATAATGTCTGACATTGTGTGAAATGTGTCGTAGAGAGAATCTGAAAGGAGAAGATTTCATTTTAAATGGGTTTTCTGCTCATTTATTAGCTCTTAAATACCAAAAAGCTTTCTAACCTCGGCCAAATATGAAGAGGCGAACTGTCATGTTGACAAAGATCCATGAAAATCCAAGAAACTGAACCAGGTTATACATAAACAAAAAGGCTGTTTTGAGGCTGATAAACCCTGAAATGTTAAAACAAAGATATTTATTATCACTTGATTTCTGTTATTGAAAATACAAAAAGTTCATTTTTATGTGACATTCAATTTTACAACAGATCTTCACCTTCTCCTTTAAGCTTTGCAGTCCTCAACCTGCTCCTTTTCTCATCCTTAGAGATTAAAAAAACATCAAATCTTTGCTTTATTTTCAGTAGGACAATCATCAGCTGCCACATTTGATTATTTTTAATACTGCAATTGAAATTTATAATACCCAAAAACCACACGGCTGACATAAAAACTATTATTTATTCTCACCTTTTCCCAAATCTCCATCTCAGCGTCTGACTCGTCCAGCCAGCGGTCAAAGTCTGGAGTCAGGAAGACAGGTCTACGCTCCTGCAGGGTGAGCCTTTCCCACCAGCCTCGCCGCTCTTTCTGTACTGTGAGGTTTACCTGACGTTGTGTGGACTTGTGCCTCACCTGGAAACATAAACTGATGTTACAGCAAAATTCAGTATAACATAAAATGGTATGATGGTGAGAAAAGGAAGGTTATTTAGGATAAAATGTGCACCTGAGGCTTTACTGGAAAAAGGAACTCTAAGCTGAACTCATATTCATGTAGTCCTTTTGCACCGTATCCCTGGGCTAGATGCAAAACACAAATCATGTTAAAAATGACTTTTCCTTTAAAACATACATGAAATTCATAAACATACCTCTGAATTGAAGGACATTATCCTGCACCTGGACATCAATATTCTGCAGAACAAAGACAAAACAATGACTGATGATGCACAAACTTCCTCCTAACTGAAGCATCGCTTTGCTTCCTGTGATGTGCACAAACCTGTAGGATATAAAACATTTACATGATTACTAAGTTTCATCACATCAACAAAAGTAACTTGCCCTAAAGATTTACCATTTGAAACCAACTTTGTACATTTCATGTCATGGTTTCAGTTTCTCTTAAGAAACATCTACAGGAGCTGACAGTGTTGCAAAGACTTCAACACTACGTGTGGAGTATGCCTGATTTTCTTTGCAGTGCAGCTTCAAACTAAATATTCGGTCATCTCAACACCCTGAAACAATCCACCTCCACATCAGAAAGGGCTAGAGGATATTTCTGCTATTTTAATCCACTAGACGGACCTCGAACCCACGCGTGTCTTCTTTAAAACGTATCCAACTCCACACGTGAAGGATTCAGCCCGAGGAAGGGAGCTTTGTAAAGATTATTACCCAATGTATCTCTGAGATCGTCTCCCGACAAGCAAAACAAATGTCATGTTTCCACGAACGTTCGATTTTTAATTTGCTTCCGTGTTTACCCCTAAATAATAAAGCTAACAGTAGCCAGGTTAAAGTACTCACCTGGGCGTCCGTCAGCTCCACTCGCAGGAAGATTTCCTCGTGACGTTGAGCCCAGTGAACAAGAGGCGTGAGAGTCATTTTATTTTACTTTTTACCTTCAAATAAAATAAAAATAAAATTGTGAATATTTCATGCTACCTTCGTTGAAAGCTTTTAGCTAATACCCCGCGTAATCTAGTACCAACGCGCGCGCGCTCCAAATCAGACGTAGCGACGTGCTCGTGTCAAAAGAAGCGTAGTTCTCTTCTCTGATTGGCTCTCGTTTAATGTTTACGGATGTGCATCAGCGCAGCACCGCAGCAGCAAGTTGTGGAGCTCTCCCTGAATCTACAGCTATCATGCAGACAGATGACAGCGTTTCATCTCTGAAAAAGGATTTACTGAAACCTCCTGGGTCATTTCGTGTACTTGTTGGCGTAACAGGAAGCGTCGCAGCATTGAAACTGCCTGCTTTGGTCTCCGAGCTTCTCCAGCTCCCTGGGGTGAACTGATTCACAACTATTATCAAACTTCAATTTAGAATCTCTGTTGCCAGATGAATTTTGAAACATAGCACGGATTTGTTCCTAAACTGAATGACCTTACCTTAACCGCAAGATGGGGACATTTGCCAGAAACTTAAAAATCTACCTTTTTGTTTTGCGAAAATATTTCCATCAGTTTAAAAATAGTTTTCAATTCAAACGAAACTATAAATGCTCATTGTCAGTGTTTTTTATTTAATTTTGTTTTTGTTGTTTGTTTTTGCTTCAGGTGGATGTAAGGGTGGTCACCACAGAGCATGCTAAACACTTCTACAACCCTGCAGAGGTGTCAGTAAACATCTACAGTGACAAAGATGAGTGGGAGGTAATACACACCCATTCGTGTGTATTATTCTATATATTTCCTCATTTTAAAAACATAGTTCTTTATTTAATATTCTTTCATGCTCATAAAGCATAGTACTGTTGTTGAAATTCACAAATAAATTCAAGTTTGGCGTGAGTTGATAATTATTCATCTAATTTTCTAGTTATTTCTTAGAAGTTTGACAGAAACGTTGTCCAGGGTCAAAAAAGATTGTGAAATGTTTGCATCCTGCAGTCCAGTGGGAAGTTTAGGACATACATGCCTCACTGATTGTTTGCTAAATAAACATTTTTCCTTTTTTTAGTTTTGGACACAGAGATCAGATCCTGTGCTACACATTGAGCTAAGGCGATGGGCTGACCTCCTGATCATTGCTCCACTTGATGCCAACACTCTTGGAAAGATTGCTTCTGGTATTTGTGACAATCTACTGGTGAGGGCAGGAATCCATAATCATATCCTTCACAATAACCATGACACAAACAATCTAACACACATTTTACACATGTTTATTTTCAATGTGATTATAATTTGCTCTTTTAGACATGTGTAGTACGGGCCTGGGACATTGGTCGGCCTCTTCTGTTCTGCCCTGCTATGAATACAGCGATGTGGCAGCATCCCATCACAGCCCAGCAGGTATCCAGGCTGAAAGAGTTTGGATATGTGGAAGTCCCCTGCATTTCTAAGAAGCTAGTCTGTGGAGATGATGGTGAGTTATTAGTGTCTTTATTTTATTAATTGGTTGTATACATATATCATTTTTCTCTAAACAAAAACACACAGGACAAAACAAAAAAAAAATCCCCAACCACCGTTGTACTGGATAAAACAAAAATAATATAAAAAGACACAACTCAGGTTTCAATATGGCGCCAAGTCATTATAAAAACTACTCAGTTATATTTTATGTGAAGTTACCATACCTAAAATAAAAATTCCATAAATAATGTCAGGCAATAGAACAGTTTAATTTATAAGTGCTCTGAAATACAAGTTATCATATAAATGTAACATATTCAAAATATAATAATAATAATAATAATAATAATAATACATTTTATTTCAACAGCACCTTTCTAAACACTCAAGGACACTTTACAGATACTTTAAAGTATGTTTGGAATAAACATTTAGTTACAGATCAGTAAAAACAGAAAATTATTCAAATGTGGTAAAAAGCACTATGTTTTCTCTCTCTCTCATAACAAAGCAGTCCTAACACGCTTATAAACATGTACATGTACAGTTTTATTTAATCCCAAAGTAGATTGTTCTGAGATGGGTGGGATTAAACCACTGTCTTGGATAAACAGAAATTTAGATTTTTTTTTTAAGAAACAACAGATTCAAATGAAGAAGAGTATTATCTTCCTGAAATAAAACACATTAAAGCTGTTATGGCGAATCTGCTAACAAGCTAGGTTTTGAACACAAACACGGTCACGGAACACTCACCCCTCCCCTCAGGTATCTTCCCTGAGACGCTTCTGGCACGACTGGAAACCTGTAATGCCGGATGAAGCAAGAGAGTGCTAAACACCAGTTGCCGTCTTCTAGGTCCAAACGTCTTTTGTTGTCCGTGACTTTAAATGGCGTGACTATTTCCTTTTGGGACTCTGGTAGTTTACCCTAAAGTTGAAGTGGTAGCAGCCGGTTGTTTCTCCTTCTCTGATGTTCTTGAGCAGAGAACCTCTCACACCAGTGGTGTTCTGCTGCTAAATATGTGAGTGCGTAATGAATGGAGGACCCAGGGAAGTGTGGTGGTTCGATGAGCCAGACAACTGGAAGGTCCAGATGCTTTTGCTCCAAAACATGTTATTGATGGATAGGGCTGCAACAACGAATCAATGAAAGCGATAAAAATTGTTGTGTAGTGCAACCTTTATATAACAGTCAATGCGCACATTCAAGTTCAATTCAAGTTTATTTATATAGCGCCAAATCACGACAAGAGTCGTCTCAAGGCACTTCACACAGTAAACATTCCAGCACAGGTCAGTTCATTAAGCCAATCTCATCTCATCTGTATGTGGCAGCAGTGCAGACAGAGGCAGATCAGAACAAGAGAGACATATACGTCGCACGTGTGATGGAAAAACAGTATGCGATAAACTATTTTTAGACATAGCACTCAAGCGACACTTTTCCTAGTAACTTTTCTTCCCTAGAACTTTATTTAACACAGGTTAGATGCTTTTTACTGGCGCACAATGTACCAGTCTAGGTGCTGTGGAGGAAAACAGAGAAACCAGCAAAGACACAAAGGCAGAAACAGTCCAAAATTTTGGGAACAAAAGTGCAATTACGGGCAGATTGTGCTAGCGGGTAGCAGGCTCACGATCAAGTAGGGTTCAGCAAAAACACAATGGTCGTGAAATGAATATCTAAACTCTGCAAGCAGAAGATTCAACAGTCAAACACCATCCGGTTTATTTATCCTGTTTAAACTGTCTGCAGCGCTATAAGGAGCCTAAGTCACGCCCATCTACTTCCGGACCATGGGTCCCTGGAAGAACGAAAAAAATGAATGCATGTCAACGGGGTTAATAGAGTAATTTTCTATTCCCGCTTGTTCTGTGCCATGGATTTCACATATGATGTTCGTGAATTTTAAAGATGCATTTTGATACCAAGAAAGTGCTTATTTTTGAACGGGGGGAAACATTATTTTAGGTTTTGTGTGAAAATAAGTCCAGGACACTCAAATGCGTCATCATTTGTTTTCATTTAAATAGAAGTACAACATGTGTGTGATCCAGGGCATAAGGCAAAGCGAATTAGAAAATAATTCTTTTAGACCCGTTGACGCATTCATTTTTTCATTCTTCCGTGGACCCATGAGCCAACAGGAAAAGGAGGAGACTTTCCTATGGAGCAGGCTGCAGTCAGGTTGCTGCTTAGAGTCTGCTGTGCTAAACACCACTGTAGGATTATGGCAAACCACTGTAGCATATGTGAACACCCCCCCCTACCAGATTATTACTCAACTCCCACTTCCTGTTTGAAAAATGCAAAAATGCTGTTGCCTAGCAGACCGAGAGCACAGAGCCTCTAACAAATACACACACACACAGGCACACAACAACATTGTGACATCATATGGTACCAGCTAATGTTCTAGGGTACCTCTTAGCCAATAGCGATGGCAGATTAAAATTCAAATGCAGTGCAGAGTTTTTACCTGACAACGGCACAACACTGACAGTTTTAGGCAGAAATTTTAAATTTTAACTAAAATGCACTAAAGTTAAAACTATTGAATACACGTGTCTGCAGCATGATTAGACACGCATTTATATCGTTTATCAGAAAAAAAATGTTGATTTGGGAGTGACTTGCCCTTTAAACTGAATTTTGCTAACCGGTACATAAGATATGTCACCGTTATATTTTTAGGAGTAGTAATGAAATTGTATTAGCATTTCCAGGAGCTTACTACTGTACATGCTAATGAAATACATTAAATTTTACTGCTCATAGTTAAATTAAAGTTATTAGGTGATAGCTTAAATTAAAGTTATTAGGTGATAGCATTTTGTTTTGCACGCTAAATAACTGTTTTCTAATCATGTTTTGTTTGTAAAACAAAGGAAGCAGAGAAAAAATGTTTCTCTAGCAGTTTTTAAATGTTCCTGTTTAATTCGATTAATCAATTAGTCGAGTCGAGACCCCTTCCAATTCATCGATGATCCAAATAATCGTTTGTTGCAGCCCTATTGGTGGAGGTATACAAATGGGAGAGCACCGTTTTATTTATTGACTTACGGTATTTTGCTTTTTCATCTCCACAATATATTTATAGCTATACTATGTTAGAACATTAAGAGGCATGAAAAAAATGTTTTAAGCTAATTTGTTTTCCCAATTTGCCATTGCAGCTTTAAAGACTCACTCGTGATGTGGTGTTGCTTTGTTGCATCTTTTACTAAATGTGCTGACTCTAACAAGGAATTCTGAATTACAGACAGTCGCATTAACAGCAGTTCCAATTTTGAGGAAACGTCTCGGTCAAAGAAAAACATTAGATTAAATTTTTGGGGCATTCAACAACAACAATTTTATGACAAAGATAATATGAATGCTTTAAATCTAAAAATAAAAATCCTGTTGAAAATTGTGAAAAAAATAACGAGAACAAACCAAAAAAAATCCTGACTAAACATTAGACAAAGATGAGTAAAACTCATGTGAGCCTAGTGCTGCTTCCTCTTTTAAAAGGTTCACTTTCCTCACATTTTATGTGAATAAACACACAGTTGAACTGAAAAAGCAACTTACGCTCTGCTGCTGTCTTGTTTTAGTCTCTGTAATCAGCAGGAATGTGTTTGGACGTTTTCCTAGGCTCTTTTTTTATTGTTTATTTTTCTGTTGAATCTGGGGCCTGTTTTTCTTTATGACTCATGTCTAAAGAAGTTGTGTGGTTTAATAGACTTGAACCTTTGTCGTTTTGCCAGCTGTGGCTGTAAGAACATTCAAAGATACAGCGATGACTGCTGTATTACTCATTATTGTTACACATGCTTCTCCCTATGATAACACACTTTTAATTGTTACTCACCACCAAACCATTGTGTGTTTATTCCCAAAATATACCTTGACTTGGACAGATTCTAATAAAACGTTCAGAAAATAATGACTGAATACAAATCTACTGGTGATTAACAACTAGAGTCAACTCAATTCAACTTGGCCAACGCAGCTAAAAGTTCAGTAACTCAATATTATGGATGTTTGGCTAAAATATAGTCTTATGATAAAATGGCTCCAACTCTATCATTTCTCTGAATAAGAGTGTTTAAAACTCTTGACATAAAAAGCAGCAGGTAACATGCGTTTCTCAAACTTTGCTTGCCTTCAATTATTGTTTTTCTGTACTTATGTCTGCCAAATAATTTGCCAGCTGTTCTACTAACTACAGACAATGATGCCCATTGTTTAGCATGATGCTTTACTTATTAACCATGAGTTTTAAACAGCAATACAGGGCTTAGCAAAAACTGGGTTGTTTTTACAGTTTTGCATGAAGTGCAAACCAGAGAATTACAGTGGAATTGTAAAACCATCTGTTTTTTTCCTGTGATTTGCACTAGGGGTTGTATCGACTAATCAACTTCACTGCTCTGTAGTGACTTTTTATGCCTTTCATCAACTAGTCGCTGTCACGTGATAATGACCGACAAGTTGCAGTCCTCAGAAAAGACAGCAGGTGATGAGCCCCTGCGCATCGGGAGGGGACGCGCTGTGCCAGAGCTTCGGTATCTGATGCCCGCCGTAAAACGGATATTTGACCGAATTGTGACCTTTACCCTCTTGCAATTTAACCTTCCCCTCACCCCCATCCCAACCTTAACCAGCTTGCGCATGCAAAGCTCTGATCGTTGACGAGCTCAAATTAGGTGTCGCCACCTCAAAAACAAATTTAACATACGATCGTTTATGTCGGCTCATTTCCTTTTATGTTTTCTGTCTTTTATTTGTGCCTGCTGCGTGGAGCGGAGCTCATCACCTGTTTTGTCCTCCGGTGACGCACCTCACTGGTGTGGCCAGCGCGCACTCTGTTGTTTTTGCGGTCGGTAGATCTTTTAGAACTGCAGTTCAAAGGTAACTCATAAGGTGTATATATATATGAAGCCAAGTGACGTCATCAACGACTAGTCGAACTCGACTCGATTTTTATTACTTGACGGTCGACTTTAACAAAAATTAAGCCATGCAGCCCCTAATTTGCACATGCTTGTTGGTGAAGCTTTTAGTGTTTAAAAGTGTAGTTGTAGGCAGCTCAGAGAGTAGAAAAAGAGGACTACATGGGGATTTTGCAATTCAAGAGGGTTTCAAAAATGTCCAGTGAACCTTCTGATTATAACTGCATGACCCAGCATACTTAGATAAAAGGGAGGTGTGGTGGTTGCAGAAGCAGATACATTTGATTTATAGAAATAAAAGGAGGTAATGGAAAAGCTTTGGTGTTGCTAACAATCCTGTCAGAGGTTTTAAGTCTTCTAGGAGGATGTTAGCATCATGACTAAAGAAAGAGAAACAAAAAACTCAATTCTTTTGACTCTGAGAGCTGATTGCTTGCATCACGGACATAGGACACAGCCAGGAAACAGAAGTGCCGGGGTCGTGGTCTATTGGTCTGTCCTCGTGTGGGGGTGCCCATCCCCGCCTGGAAATCCTGGGGATGGCTCCGGGTCCCAGCTACAGCGGGGTCACTGAGGGGTCGGGCAGTTGCAAGTTGGAGGGGGCAACATTCAGGAACCTGCCCCCCCCCCCCCCAATAAATGGTGTGGCCTGTGTTGCACCACTCCCCTCAGGCAGACAATTTCAGGGATTTGAGGGTTTGGGCTTGGTAGGGGGGAGGGGGTTGGATGGGTGGGACTGTCAAACTGTGTTGCAGTGATGAAGGGAACTCTTCTGTTCTGGTCATGCTGGACCTGACTGCAGCCTTTGACATTATTGACATTGTTGACCATCACCTGCTTCTTGATAGGTAGGCCTTTCAGGATCTGCTCTGGAGTGGTTCTCCTCATATCTGTCTGAGCATTCCTTCTCTGTGGCCGTCTCCAAGTTTAGGTCCTCCACCACCTTCCTCACCCATGGTGTCCCTCAAGGTTCTGTGCTGGGGCCTCTACTCTTCCTTCTCTATTTGCTTCCTCTTCAGCACATCCTGAGCTCCTTTAAAAGAGTTTCATACCATCTTTACACAGATGACATCCAACTTTAAGCCCCATGAGATGTCTAAGCTGCAGCTGTTACACACCTGCTTAGACTCTATCAAAACCTGGATGGCTGGGAGCTTTATACAGCTGAATGAAGATAAGACTGAGATCCTCATCTGTGCCCCAGACAAGCTGGTTCCCAAAGTCAGAAACTTTCTTTGTCAGCTTGCTTCTCACACCAAACCTTCCGTCAAGAATCTTGGTGTGACCTTTGGCCCAGCTCTCACCCTGGATTCTCATGTCAGTTCTCTTGTTCGCTCTTCCTTCTTCCATCTTAGGAACATTGCTAAGCTGAGTCCCATTCTGTCTCGCTCTGAAATTGAGACAGTTCTCCACACCTTCATCTCCTCACGCTTAGACTACTGTAACTCTCTTTTCACGTGTCTGAGCAGAACCTCCCTGAACCGTCTACAGGTGGTTCAGACTGCCTGTGCTCGGCTTCTGACCAAGTCTCCAAACACACCCACATCACCCCGCTTCTCCTCCAGATTCACCGGCTGCTCGTTAACTTCAGGGTTCATTTCAAGATCCTGGTTCTGGTCTATAGGGCCTTACCTGGACAAGCACCATCTTACATTAGTGATCTTCTTAGTCCCTACACCCCCAGCAGGTCCCTGAGGTCCAGTGACCAATGCCTACTGGTTGTGCAGCACCAGGCTAAAGACCAAAGGTGACAGATCATTTGCTGCTGTGGCCCCCAGACTCTGGAACTCTCTCCCCCTGAGCCTGAGATCAGTGGACTCAGTGGACTCCTTTAAAAAAGCAGCTGAAAAATCACCTGTTCAAGCTGGCCTTAGTGTGACCTTCATCACCATCCTCTCCTTATTCTGCTCTTATTCCACCTTTCCCGGGATCCACTGATTTCCCTCTTTCATGGTCATTTTCTCTCTCCTTTTCCTTACATTTTTTTCATCACAATTTGTATGTTTTTCTCCTTTTATATCATTTTTTAAATCCTTATATATCTTTTTTTGTGAAGCACCTCGTGATTTTTATTTTGAGAGGCACTGTATAAAAGATTGTCTTTTGTCTTTCTTTATTTCTGTTCTCTCCTTTCAGCCGCCTGTTGGGTTATTTTATTAAAACCAAGTTACCTTAAGAGAAGTCAAACGCACAGAGGATTAGAGAAATATTATTGTTCACTTTACTTTGCAAAGTGGAGAGACGAAATGAATACGCACCCAAGCATGGTTCACAGGATCTCTCAGGGAACATCCGTTTTCTGAGGGTTTTTATTAGCAAGCACACACAACACATCACATCACATTCCTAAACTGCTCCGTAGAGATTCAGGTGGAAAGCTGTTTAATGTAGGGAGTAAAAACAACTCCATACAAAACCAGGTGCATTCAGTCAACATGCTGTTTCCCATGGGAGTATAACTGATAACACAGACCAGCGTGGTCTGAGGAAGGCCGTTGTCCTCCCTGTTGAGATGGGAAGACTGGCACAGGATAACACTTGCATTTTAATGAAGCAACAGGTGTTTTACTTATAAGCTAGCTATGATTTTAAGCAGTGATGTCAGTGAAAACCAATTTTTCTCTATCACCTTCTGCTGCAGCCCATGCCACCTCCACCCCGTTTTAACTGCTCAGGACATGTGGGGTCCTGCTGTAGCCTTGACCACTTAGCCCAATTAGTCATATACATCACCACACTCCAACCTAGATTATCACACACACGCAACATTGGTCAACCTGTGGACGAGCGGTGATGGTGAAGGCTTCGCCCCTGTTGGTTCTGCCGTCTACCCTCTGTCAATCTGGTGGGGCTGGGGATCTGGAGCTGCCTGCGGGGCTTTGAGTCCGTTGTGGAGATGGATGGGTGGGGATAGGTGCTCACGGGTTGGGGTATGGTCTGGGGGCCCTGGCCCATGCTGCTGCATAGTAGGTTGGTAGTTGTTGAATTGGGATCTTGGGCATATTGAGCTGCCCGCTGCCTTGGGGGCTGTTCCAGAGATGAGGAGGGTGCTCCACTGATTGGCCCCCCATATTTTGCAACCAAGTGTGTACTCTCAAGCCATTATCCTCACCATCCATATGTGTTGGGGGTGCAGTTGGGGGGGCTGGCGCTCAGTTTGCTGGAGGGCAAGGCCGTGATGGCTTGGTTGACCTGTGCTTAGCTGTCCCTTGCGGGGTGTTAGGGTGGACCTAACGGTGGGGGTAACAGTGTGCTGGGCTGGGGGCTCCAGACTTGGCAGCCACAAATGGGTTCCCTTTGGCTGAGGGCTAGTGTTCTGATGTCGTCGGGCTTGGGTCTGACCTCTGGGCTGGCCGATTGGTGTCCGGCCTTTGGTGGCTATCGGATGCTGGGACATGTGTGGCCCCAAACTCTAGTCTCTCTCTCTTTCCATGTTTGTGTTGTACGTCTCTTTTCTCCCTGCCTATCCACTCCAGTGCATAGGTGAATGTGGTCTAACCCCGGGTTTCCACAGGAGCCGTCAGCAGCACGTTACTGCAGCAGCACGTCTTGCTCGCGTAAGCTGCTGCTTGGCCCTTCCCACGAGACGCGAAGCAGCAGGGGAGCAGCTGTCACCGACCGAGCACAAAGTCACACGAGTGACTTCGTCAGTAAACACAACAACAAGCAGGAGAAAACTACAACATGGCTCCAAAATGTTTGTGTTTTATGTTCTGTCCGTTTTATAATCGCCAATACGGACCTGAAAAACAAAGGAGACCGCTAGCTAGGTGATAACTTCTCACGGGGCCGCACAGTTAGTAACTTTTTTAAAGTAAAGCAACTGGAAGGCAGTACGTTCTTTATTCTGAAAATCTCGGGAGCTTCTCTCCATTTCCGCGTCCGATTTCCTGTCTTTCCTTCCCCAAAAATGTCGAACTTGACCCGTTTCAGAGGTGTCGCGCGTAGAAAATTGAACTGGCGTGTAAGGGCCGCGACATGCTGCTCCTGAGACGCGGCCGACTCGCGCTGCTGACTGCTCCAGTGGAAAAGGTTCTGTTGACCACAGCGGTTCCCATCAGCAGCTATGACGTGCTGCTGCAGTAACGTGCTGCTGACGGCTCCTGTGGAAAGCCGGGGTAACATGTTCTGTGCAACAGGAGGAACTTCTCACATCTCTCTTGCTGTAGATTAAAACTACTCTGGCATGCAATGTCACCTGGTTCAACCATTCTACTGCTAGGACAGGTTAAAAAAAAACAGGAGAGATTCATTTCCTAAAGAAGCAGCCAAAATCAACAACACAGCAGGTTGGATAAGTGGGAGGAGTTGGGAATGGTTGTCATCGCTTCACATACTCAGAACGGACAATTCTTCCACTCATAATGTCATGTATTTATAAAAAATGGTGAAATGAAGCAGAGAATTTAAAATAAGAGAATTTAGAGATGACAAAAATTGCACTACCTGACAATTTGGCTCCAGTTTCAGAACAAATGTATGTGAATAAAGGTAATGGCAAATGCCACGTGTCATATCAACATGTTTGGTACACGCTTGAAGAGCTCTAATAAACAGCAGCAGGTTACCTTATAGAGAAACATGTTGATTGTTGTCGTTTATGCCCTTTAGACCTGGGGTCCTCAACAAATTTGTTCAAGGGCTGGAGTTTTTTCCAGCAGACACCATTAGGGCCAGATGCTCTTCTAAAATGAAGTTAAAGTATTATTGTATCTTAATTTATTAATATTTTTAAATGCCCTTGTATTCATTCTAAACAGTTTTGTTTTAGTTGTGTTTGCAGAATGTCTTTAGGGACTTTTCAATCCTCCAAGAGGAACTCCTAATCAAAGAGTCTGCATAAACTAAATGTAATTTTCAATATAGTGATATTATATAAGATATTCATGTAACCATTTTGTCCCTGTTTTAGGTAAAGGTGCCATGGCAGAAGTGTCCACCATTGTCAGCGCTGTCAAACACTATCTCCCAGATGTGTCGCCAGTCTCCTCACAATAATCTAAAATAAAATAAAGCCAATGGCTATAGTCTTTACACTTGTGTCCAAAAGATCCAGTTAACTCACAGTAAACTCAAAACAACTGTTTTCTGTGTGTGTTGTTATATCCCACTCAAGTCATATCCATCAGACCTCGGGGTGATGGTGGCACAAGAGTTAAGTGCTCACCCCGTAATCCGAGGGTTGCAGGTTTGAGCCCCGCTCAGCCTGTCACTGTCGTTGTGTCCTTGGGCAAGACACCTAACCCACCTTGCCTGCTGGTGGTGTTCGGAGGGACCGGTGGCGCCAGTGCACAGCAGAGTCGCCTCCATCAGTGTGCCTCAGGGCAGCTGTGGCTACGTTGTAGCTCATCACCCTCAGGATGTGTGTGTGAATGGGTGAATGACTAATTGTGTTGTAAAGCGCCTTGTGGGGTTGGGGGACTCTAGAAGGCGCTATATCAAATACAGGCAATTTACTCATAAAATCACACAATGCTGCATATTTACACAATGTAATAAAGATTACTAATTACACATATTCACTATAGGGATTAATGCTTAAGAAATATTCACTTTCTGCAATAAACGATTGATGCATTAAGAACCATTCAGTGACAACCATGGAGGGATTATAGCATGACTATGATGGTTGTAAATGAGTGGAATTACTGTAATTTGTTTAAAAGCTCAGAAAACAGTGAAGAATGGCCTCTGGCCTGGCGTCTATGCAAGGCTGATAGAATAACATGTTGAATTGTGAAACTAATCAAATGTCTGTTGAAGAAAGCTGTTTGTCAGGAAATGAATGAAGTGTGTGGCTGTCTGCATGACAAACATCAGGCCGTGTGGAGATAAGCCCTTCTATCCCTAACTGTCTGGAGGGCACACTGACGACATCAAGAGCCAATGAGGCGACAACATCCTAAACATTTCATGCTGTAGTTCTTTTTTAAAACACAGAACAGTTTTGTAACCTGTTTTCCCGCTACGTTTCGTTTGCGGCTGCAAACTTCCTCAGGCTGACGCTCAGTTTGCTGGAGGGCAAGGCCGTGATGGCTTGGTTGACCTGTGCTTGGCTGTCCCTTGCGGCGTCAGCCTGAGGACGTTTGCAGCCGCAAACGAAACGTAGCGGGAAAACAGGTTACAAAACTGTTCTGTGTTTTAAAAAAAGAACTACAGCATGGAATTAGAGATAGGACACAGCAAGAACACACCTAAGATATCCTAAACATTTCCTTAGAGATTCTGTTAGTATTAAGTAGTAGGTCAAGGCAAAAGTAAGCTTCAGTCCTGAAGCTGCTCTTGATGGTCAGGGACTCGAGGGTGGATCCGACCTACAGATCTGTATTTAATATTTTAGTGGCTTATAAATAAATTGTCAGGTTTTTAAGTATTTTTATTTATTCAGAAAATACTCACAACTGTTTGTGTGTGTGTTTTACGTTTTTATTTAGAGATAGACTTTGGTAGGCCACTGGTTGTTGACACCAGAGCCATCCCCACCTCACCTCAAAGCACGTAAGCTTGGTTTATGCTTGACGCATTCACTTTCCGCGCGGTGATGCGGCTCGCGGATGGAACGCGCTTCACAACTAGCAGCCTTGCTATTTAAATTGCAATTGCCTAATTGTTCGTGCGGATCGTCTCTGCAGTGAGCCAATATTCTCCCAAACTGAACGGGGCAGCATGGAGCTCTACAGCATGCATCCAACACTACACCATAGTAGAAGTAGAAATTACTGTTTACAACATGGCATTTCAGCATTTTTAACAGCGTCCTCGTCTTTTCCGACAGTGCAAGCTATTTCTCTCCAAGAATTATTAACAACATGTTGATCACGGTGATCTCTGAGAGCTGAATCATACAAATGTCTGTATTTACGAACCTCTGCCATACTAGTTCTTGCCGGTCCGCCATGTTTTTCCACGTCCGTCCGTCCGCGTGGTTAGAAATTTTCCGAGGTGCGCGTCGCAGAAATTCTGGGCCGTGCGGAGGTGCGGTGGAGGGGCGTGGTTGTTAAAATGACGCAAAATGACGCAACTTTTCTGCGCGGAGCCGTGCGGACCTCGCGGACGCATCAAGCATAAACCAACCTTAAGGAGCCCCTGTCAAGGCTACCTTATGGCCCATTTACACTGTGGTCAGCTCGCCCTCACCCTGGTGGGGACAACCAACCCTTTCATGGCCACTCTTCTCAGGAACACGGACATGGAAGTCTCCTGCTAAAGCGGCATGAAGAAGCCACGTGGTGTCATTCCTAAATGCCACAAGTTAGTTAACAAACGTGGGTGTGAGCAGCAGTGTTGTGTTCACAGACTCTAACGTGAAGCACACAGCTTCTTACTCTTCTCACTGAGCAGCGGTGAGTGCTGACGTGGGCTCCTTTTCCATCCAAGAGTCTTCACAGCAGATGGTCAGCCGTTGCAGTGCAGCTGCACTCATGGCTGCAGTCAAAGAAGATGTTTACACCACTGCATTCAGATAGCTAATGAATCACACATGCAGAAAGTCGCCACTGGCTAATTCTACCCATGCCAATCAGAGGCTCCCACAAGTAGGTAGACGTGAGACAAAACTTCATCTGGTAAACCAGTCCATAGGTGGGTGTGTATGGTCGGCTCAGCACGAGATGAGAGTTTGTTTTAGTTTTACTGCTGGCTGTTTTTCTATAATTTATCATTTACAAGGCCTTTTTCAAATGTACTACTTGGCTGTTGGACATGTTTAATTAGCTTTTTTTATATTGGTGATAAACGCAGTCAGTGTCCAAAGCAAATGTGAAAGAGTGTCTGAATAAAAGCACAGGATCAAATCAAAGTTTCAACAATGTTCTCTTTCTTTCTGCATTTGTCTTTTATTCGTAGCAGAATTTGTAGCAAAATTGGGATGAAAAAATGTGAATATTTGACACAAAGAAGCACACAGGTCTGTTTCATACGGCAAATGTCTGAAACTACAGCAGCAGAGGTTCAGGCTTCAGTTTATAAGACACAATGTAATAAAATTGGAACATTCCTCTCTGAAAATGCTTTGATTGTTCAAAAATGTGACAAATGCCAGCAACTATCAAAGGTCAAAGGTAAAAACCCTCCATCTACCAACATACTGAGATGCACCAGTAAGAAGTATGACAAGACAAGCCAGAACATGTAATGATCTAAGAATGAATGGCCGTTGCATCATTTTGACCTAAAGCCACATAGTTGTCACACACTAGCGTGGTGAGGTGAAATTTGTCCTCAACATCTGACCCATCCCCGTGGGGAGTGGTGAGCTGCAGCTGTGTTCAGGAAAGCTGAATGTCAAGCAGGGAGACATTGGGTCCCATTTTTATTAAGTCTTTGGTATGACCTGACCGGGATTTGAACTCCGATCTCCGCGTCCCACACTCTACTTGTAGGCCACTGAGCTGGTTAACTTACAATATCTCAGACAAGTAGAACAACATACTTGCTTTAAAAGCCCTGAAGACTTTAATTAAAACATGTCGTTTATGTAAGTAAACTTGGAGGAAAATTATCACATGTCTTACCTAAGATTGAAGGTGAAACTGAACATCTTTTGTAATCATTCATCTAGTTATTTATTTTTATTAAATGCAGTCTAACTGTAGGAACTTTGCATTGCAAATAAATGAGGGTGGGCGTGCATCATCACTGTCAAGCTGCCAAGGCTGCTGCACATGGAGCTCTGTGAGTGGCTCCCAAAAAGAGAAGCATCCTTTCCTGAGGCAAAACCTGTCCTGCTGCTACTGGCTACCATGTGAAATTTGAAAATCAGCCAGAAGATTATCTCAAAAATTGCATGCCGACAAGAGACGGGATGGATTTACAGCCAGCATGTGCTCCAAGTATGTGAAAGAACACTGTGCTTTCAGAACATCGGACAAACACTCAACGCAACTCCAGTCTGATATGACATAGTTGTTTTTTTTTTTTTCTGAAGGTGTCTCACACTTTCATTTATGAGAATAATGTGTACAATCAATCATCCATCCATCCATCCATTTTCATCCGCTTTTCTGGGGTTGGGTTGTGGGGGCAGCAGCCTAAGCAGAGAGGCCCAGACTTCTCTCTCCCCAGCTCCTCCAGGGATGTCACAAGGCGTTCCCTAGCTTGTTGAGAAACATAGTCCATCATGTCCTGGGTCTTCCTTTAGGTCTCCTCCCAGTTGGACATGCACAGAAAACGTCCAGGAGGCATCCTAATCAGATGCCCGAGCCACCTCCTCTCGATGTGGAGGAGCAGCGGTTCTACTCCGCGCCCCTCCCGGATGACCTCGCTTCTCACCTTATCTCTAAGGGAGAGCCCAGACACTCAGTGGAGAAAACACATTTCAGCCGCTTGTATCCGCGATCTCGTTCCTTCAGTCACTACCGTAAAGCTCGTGACCATCAATCACTACAATGCATATGTCTGATAACAAAGGGAGTTTGAGATTCACAAAAACGAAGATTATAAGACCGGACTCTAGGCCGGATCTGCTAGTCTCCGTACGCCGGTTGCTCTGTGAACTGTAGAAACAGGGCAGTGTTGTGGGGTTCGTTTGGGTTCCCGTCCATGTGGGAGTGGGTGGAAATGAAGAGGCGGATCAGGCGGTGAAGGGTTCCATAAGGAACGACACAGTGGGACTGGACGTGGGTATGGGTCGCCGGAGTACCGTGCAGTGATCTGCCGGGAGGTCAGACGCTTGTGGCAGGACTCCTGGTTCACAGGGGCAAAGGGTAGGAGTTTTTGTGATCTGCAGGGGATGGTGGGTGAAGGAAGGATAGATATAGGCTGTGGGAGGACGGATGAGGTCGTGCTGACTCGTTTGAGGCTGGGACATTGTGGACTGGTATGTGGTCTGTTCCTGGCGGGCAAACACCCAGATGGGAGATGTGTTTGTGGGGAACCGGAAACGGTCTCCCATGTATTGCTGAGCTGCCGCAGGCACGAGGATGAGTGGCGAGTCCTGTTTGGGATGTTGGGGCAGTGTGGGGTGGAAGTGTTCAGTCTCCGGACGTTGTTGGAGGCTCGGGATAAACAACGTGTGAAGCTGTTGATGGACTACTTGCGCACAGTGGGAGCGTATAGGATATAGCAGGTAGGTGTAGCTGTAG